GGGCGTCCCCTCGGCAAAGTCCTTGCAAACGGCCAATTCTCTCAGAAGCGACTTGCAGTTTCTCAGGTCGCTCCTGACGCGACAAAAAAAAAGGGTCCATAGAAATTCATTCTTTTTTTTTTTCAAATTATAATCTGGCCCTCCACAGTTTGATGGACTGTGACCTGGCCCTCTGTTTAAAAAGTTTGAGGACCCCTGAGTTAGATGGTTGTTTTCAGACTTTGATGTAGATATAAAATGTGAAGTCGATGGAGAATATGAGACATACATTTCTGAATATAATTTACTAGCTGTCCCCTGCCACGCATTGCTGTGGCTCAATCTGGTGATCTGGAAAATAATTAGAAAATGTTGGTTTCTAATATATGTAATTTCTTTCTGCTTGTGGGTAAACAATATTTCTTGTTGTTTTTTGTCAGTGTTGATGTGGAGAGTGTCTGGTTTGCCTACTCTGGAACATGCAACATATCACTGTCTTCTTTAGGGGTCCCTTTCAAATCTATGATACTATATCTGTGTGTGTGTGAATCATATCTATCTATATCTATGGCTGGATGGCTCTTTGTCTGGAGGGCTTTGATGACATTTTCTTGCCCTGGTGAAGGGAGTTGGACTGGATGGCCTTAAGTATTTTCTGATGGTCATGGGAGTTCTGTATGGGAAATTTGCCCCAATTCTGTCGTTTGTGGGGTTCAGCATGCTCTTTGATTGTAGGTGAACTATAAATCCCAGTAACTACAACTCCCAAAGGTCAAGGTCTATTTCCCTCAAACTCCATCTGTGTTCATATTTAGGCATATAGAATATTTGTGCCAAGTTTGGTCCAGATCCATCATTGTTTGAGTCCACAGTGCTCTCTAGATGTACGTGAACTACAAATCCAAAACTCAAGGTGCCCATCAAACCCTTCTAGTTTTTTCTGTTAGTCAGGGGAGTCCTGTATGCCAAATTTGGTTCAATTCCATTGTTGGTGGAGTTCAGAATGCTCTTTGATTATAGGTGAACTATAAATCCCAGCAACTACAACTCCCAAATGACAAAATCATAATTTTTGAGTGATGGTCACTCCTTGTGTTGTGAGACATTTTGTTGCCAAATTTGGTGTGATTTCGTTCATTTTGTTTATAAGGTACTCATTATGCACAGAGCATTTTTATATATATATATTTCAGTGTCGTCCTTTGTTGGCATTTTTTTTTATATTTTCAAAGCATTCCTCGTTCTGGGTTTTGGGATATTATGATATGTGAAAGTGATGACATTGTTTGTACAGTGTGTGTGTGATGCAAAGGGAAGGGAGGAAACTTCAGAAAGTTTTTGTTTTTGTTTGCCTTGGCCCCACTCAGTTATAACCGATGATAACATCCTGGCTGAAACAAGGGATGATCTTCTCATAATGCAAGGACGCTTGAGGATGGCTCTGCTGACCTTTTCCCTCTTCTGCAGTTTTTTTGGTGTTTTAGTATGTGCAGCTTGCACTGGAAAGAATTTATAATCGCCAGGCTGTCAAAGGCAGCCATTGTTCTCACTGCTCTGAACATGTGGGTCAGCTACAAGTGCTTTCATATCCCCCAGAGCCAGGAGCTGGCAACAAGCAAAGAGCAAGACTGAATTCTTTAGATGCATCAGGAAAAGTGTTTTGCATATTTTTCCCCCTTCTCTTTTCACCGCTGACTGGTTCGGGAAGAAAGACGTCCACTCTTTCATAACTGGAATTTCTCCTCAAGGTAGAAGGAGGCTCTTTGCAGGCTGGAGCTCACAGCTTTGCTATTTTGATTGAGCTGAAAGCAGAAACAGCACATTCACTCTGCGGATGTCCCAGCTTGAGACAAGAAGCTAGATTGAAAAGATCTCTTCGGGGAGGTTAGGCATGCTTTGCCTCCTAAGCTGAACCCAAGATGCCTTTGCCCGCATGGCATGGACCTCTATGATCAGGATGTGGATGAAGAACCAGCCATGTTTCAGGTTGACTATTATTATTTTTCTGACTATTTGGTATGTGTAAGCTCAGTCTCATTGAAGTGGGCTCGAGGCTGAAAACTTCTACCACACATTCATACGGTAACCTTTTCCCATGCCACAGGACTCCTTCCACCAATGGATTAATAGTAAACTTATTTTGTAAAGTTGCTTATCCTGATTTTTCTTCCATCTGGTGTGTATGTTTGCTTTTCGTATTTATTGTGTGCCTTGCTTTGCATTCTGCAGTAGTTTCTCTCTAGTCATTTGAAAGAGATGTTTGATGTATTGTCGAAGGCTTTCATGGCTGGAATCACTCAGTTCTTGTGGGTTTTTTCGGGCTATATGGCCATGTTCTAGAGACATGTTTGACTGGGGATGTTTGACTGGGGAATGGGGTTAAGCAGAAGATGTACCGCATTGAAAATGTAGGCATTGAAAATGATATGGAAAGGACATCATTGCTTGTTGACTGTGGTGTATATATTCACCCACTGTCTCCTTTAATGGACAGGATAAGAGAGAAGAGCTTACTTTTTTGGAAGAGTTTAGAGTCCTCGGAGAAGAAGCATTGCTTCCAATAGTAGATTTACAAGTCTTTTTTTCCCCTTCCCGGTGGCTCTTGTCCCATGGACTTTCTAGCTGGTTGTGTTTTTCAAAAAGCTACAAATCTTATTTGACTAATTAAATTGATTGTATATGTGAGTACCAAGGGAAAGGATGCCCTAATGTATGTAGCATATTTTGAATAATGTTCTGTTCCTGATTTGAAAGTGTTATTTCCTGTTTAATTGTGCGGTGCTTACTTTGAAAGTAGTTGTTATACTCCAGAAACTTCCTTTTTGTGACTGCTATTTTTAACCTTTAGTGCAGACCACAAAAACAAAGTTTGAATGATAGAGCCAATTAGGAAATGACATTTATAGCCCAGGAAGAAAAATCGTGTTACATAGTGGTCCCTCACTTCCATTCCAGGACCACCCGCAATAAATAAAAATCCGCGAAATAGGGACACCACGTTAATTTTAATATTTATACATTATTTTATATATTTAATATATTATAGAGCAGTGGTTCCTAACCTTCTTAATACCACCACCCCTTTATACAGTTCCTCATATTGCGGGGACCCCCAACCATAACCTTATTTTCGTTGCAACTTCATAACTGTAATTTTGCTACTGTTATGCATTGTAATGTAAATATCTGACAGGCAGGATGTATTTCATTCACTGGACCAAATTTGGCACAAATACCTGATATGCCCAAATTTGAATACTGGTGGGGTGGGGGTGATTTTGTCATTTGGGAGTTGTAGTTGCTGGGATTTATAGTTCACCTACAATCAAAGAGCATTCTGAACTCCAACAACAATGGAATTGAACCAAACTTGGCACACAGAACTCCCATGACCAACAGAATTGGGGTTTGTAGTTGCTGGGATTTATAGTTCACCTACAATCAAAGAGCATTCTGAACTCCATCAACGATGGAATTGAACCAAACTTGGCACACAGAACTCCCATGACCAACAGCAAATACTGGAAGGGTTTGGTGGGCATTGACCTTGAGTTTGGGAGTTGTAGTTCACCTACATCCAGAGAGCACTGTGGACTCAAACAATGATGGATCTGGACCAAACTTGGCAGGAATACTCAATATGCCCAAATGTGAACACAGGTGGAGTTTGGGGGAAATAGACCTTGACATTTGGGAGTTGTAGTTGCTGGGATTTATAGTTCACTTACAATCAAAGAGCATTCTGAACCCCATCAATGATAGAATTGGGACAAACCCCCTTGACCAACAGAAAATACTGTATTGTCGAAGACTTTCATGGCTGGAATCACTAGGTTCTCCCCCCCCCAGAGGTCCTGAACCCCGGTTTAAGAAACACTGTTATAGAGTAATGTTATTGTCTCCCTCCAGTAATAGATTCACATTATTATCTTGTATATGATAGTTGGGTATCTATTCTTCTCTCTGCTTTATTTATATGATATTTTTGTGGATATTTGGGTAACTTGCTTTATTGTTGTGTTGTGAGTTTTACATTTGCATTACTCTGCCCTTCTGTGTGAAAGCATGTGCATATTTTAGATTATATACCTTTTGTAAGACTGGCTGATTCTATTGTTGTTTTACTTCTGAAGTAATTATACAACACTGAACTATATAAATAAGGGGGAGAAGAGGAACCGGAAATGTGTCTACTGTAGCATTATACTGTAGCATTATAGACTTTGAAAGCAACTTGGCGTTTACTATGTTTTCTTCCTCTTATTTAAAACAGTACAATCTGGGAAGGACCAGTCATCCAGATTGTTGAATATGTAATCTAGTCAACAAGGTATTAAGAGTAAACATTCTTATAGTTCTGGTCATCTATTGGACTAGATGGCCCTTGAGGTCAATTCCAACTGTATGATTTTATGTTGTGGATTTATGTGAGAGCAGGTAACATCTCCTGCTATCCTAACATTATGCCAGGCACATCAAAGCTAGAATATTGCTGTCCATTAGGCTTGGGCAATCCATGGTTCTAAATGGTTCTAAAGTACTTACAAAACTAAAGTTCTGGTGGTGAAAATTTCAGAACTCTAACAAAACTTTCAAAATTTAATTATTATTTCATTATTGGTGATTTTAATGACAGAACCAATTAGGAACTGCCATTTATTATGAAATTTTGAGAGTTTTGTTAGAGTTCTGAAATTTTCACCACCAGAACTTTAGTTTTGTAAGTACTTTAGAACCATTTAGAACCATGGATTGCCAAAGCCTACTGTCCATGTATCATACTGTCCTTTAGTATGTTTTTCTTTAAATCAAGAATGAGTTCAGGTAACTGACACATGGAGTCCAATAATATATTTACTAACTTACTTTGAATGCAATTTTCCTGCTTCTTGGCAGGAGGTTGGACTGGGTGGCCCATGAGGTCTCTTCCAACTCTATGATTCTATGTACTAGATGCACTGAGAATTATTGCTGTTAATTTCTTTAACGACTCTCTCCCCCTCCTCCTTGTTCCTCTTTAGGATACTGAGGATGTTGAGAGCCCCAAGCGCAGTATCCGTGACAGTGGCTATATAGACTGTTGGGACTCAGAACGCAGTGACTCTCTTTCTCCTCCGCGCCACGGCAGAGATGATTCCTTTGACAGCCTCGATTCCTTTGGCTCTCGCTCCCAGCAGACGCCGTCTCCAGATGTGGTGTTAAGAGGAAGCAGCGATGGTAAGCTGGGCTTCCCATGGCTCCAATTGAATGGGACATACAGGCTTTTTTTCACCATAAAACGGCTGATGTGATGCTGCCACTCCAAAAGCTGGCTTCGGTGGTCAAACGTGATGTGCCTTGCTAATCCCATGAAGCAGGAAAGGAACTTGGGTTGAATGCTGATTAATGGCTTAAGAGTTCTTTTGATAGTTGTGCTCCTGCTGCAGTCAGTCTCTTTCCCTGCTTTCAGGCTGTGGTGGGAGAAGTTACATCATAGCAACAGTAATTTATGATATGCTGCTTCTTGAGCCTTGAAGTGTAAGGAGATATTGGGCAGACATTGGGCTTACCTAATAAAGTGGCAGCAAGCAGTAACAGCAATGGAGAAAATATAACGCTTCTTGGAATGTATAGAAAGAAGAGCCATCTTTTAGGTAGTAAACCAATCTTTGTGAATTATGTAGAGAAAAATTGTTCTTAATTTAGCATTGGATAATACCTTCCAGAAAAGATATGGCCTGACTTTCTGGAAAACAGTAAAGAAGTAATATTGGAACTCTCTTTTTTTCATAGAGACTGCCTTTTTCTTACTTATTCTCTATTTTTCAGATTGTATTTGAAAAATTTCAAAGGAGGAAAATGTTTTTATTGCAAAAAGCTATTTAAATCTGTTCTATTTGTGTTTGATTCATAACAAAACATGGTTACACATGCTTGAGACGTCTAGTTTCAGCTGTGTTTATTAAGGTCTTTCTCCATTTGTATGCTATAATAATAATAAATAATAATAAAGTGGGTTGTTGTAGGTTTTTCCGGGCTATATGGCCATGTTCTGGAGGCAATTTTTCTCCTGACGTTTCGCCTGCATCTATGGCAAGCATCCTCAGAGGTAGTGAGGTCTGTTGGAAGTAGGAAAAATGGGTTTATATATCTGTGGAATGACCAGGGTGAGACAAAGGACTTTTGTCTGCTGGGGCTAGGTGTGAATGTTTCAGTTGATCACCTTGATTAGCATTCAATGGCTTGGAAGTGCCTGGGGGGAATCTTTTGTTGAGAGTGATTTTATGTGCCTGTTTGAAAGGCACTGCAGACTACTTCAACCAGAGAAGTCAGCACTAGCAGAGCACCTGATGAACCAACCTGGACACAGCATATTATTTGAGAACACAGAAATGCTGGACCACTCTCACAACCACCATGTCAGACTACACAGAGAAGCCATTGAAATCCACAAGCATGGGGACAATTTCAACAGAAAGGAAGAAACCATGAAAATGAACAAAATCTGGCTACCAGTATTAAAAAACCCAATAATTTGCAAGCCCTATATATCTATGTTTATATCTAGACATCTCTCTGTGTGTCGGTGCGTGCATGCACACACGTGCATTTCCCCTGCAATATTTGCAAACCATACATATCTATATTCATATCTATCTATCTAGACACACACACACACACACACACATATATATAGAATTGGCAAATACCTTCAAACATATGAGGGGAAATTCATATATAAAATTAATGTATATAGATAGATACAGATAATATATAGGTACATAGGGATTGCAAAAGCTTGCAGAGGGAAATGCCTATATATCTGTAGGAGAGATTAACAAATATTTCAGGGGAAAATGCTTTTATAAGATTAATGGATATTCCTGACTTGCAAGGGCTTCTCTTCCTCTCCAGCGAGTAAGGAAGGATTTGGAAAAGAAAACACACTGATAAGGGAGGGGAAGAGGAGAGAGAAATAAATCATATATTGCAAGCAATGGCTTCCAAGCTCTGCTTGGCTTGACCCAATTATAAGCCAAGGGAGGCTTTTTCTGCCCAAAAAAGGGCTAAAAGGCTTGGCTTATCTTCAAGTATATATGGTAGGTGGAGAGTCTGCACACATAGACAATGCTGTCTTCTTTCAAGAGGATTGTGCGCCATTCCCCACAGAGATAAAATGACAAGGGAAGACACAGAACTAATGGTCACTTATTCATTTAAATTCGATCCTGAACATCTGTGACTCACCCAGAAAGATTTCAGGTGCAAATGGCAGTTTGAATTCTGATTTTTTAAAAGTCAAAACTATATAGTAAAGAAATGGCGGGTGAGCTCGTTTTGTGGATTTTACGAAAACCCAGACATCTTTTTCCTTCTCTCATAGTATTACTTGAACTTGGGGTCACACAGTTAAGTTAATTGACTGCATGTTCACTGCTGGCTTTGATGCATTTTGAAAAGGGATTAGCCAATCTGTGGATGAAAGATATATCAGTAGCCATTAACCAGGGGTTTTTGATCATCAGAGAAAGTATTCCTCTGAGTTGCAGATAATAAAGATAAGGATAGATAGATAGATAGATAGATAGATAGATAGATAGATAGATAGCCACCACTTTCACATGTGTGAGAGAGCTTCTAGTCACATCTAGCAGACCATTATTTAAAATACTGGACGAGAGGTGGGCTTTTGCTCTAACCCAGTGTTTGCATATTTGTATATTTTAAATTGTATGCTGATGCTTTTATGTTAAGCCGCTTTGAGTCTCCTTTGGGAGAGATAAAGCAGGGTATAAATAATAATGATAATACTGTGTTGTCGAAGGCTTTCGTGGCAGGAATAACTTTGTTGCTATGAGTTTTCCAGGCTCAAAAATGGCTACCAGTATTTAAAAAAACCTCTAGAATCAGGACAGTAAATAAAGAACAACATTCAGAAAACGGGAATTCCAGACAGGAAACAATCAGGGCCAGCTACCAACTCCTAACAAAGTATTCCCCTAGGCAAGAAGCAGTCAAGCTTTGAAGCTGCAAGGCTTTGCAGTGCTAATCAAGATAGCCAATTGCAACATTCACACTTGCCTCCAACAAACAAGAGTTCTTTTTTCCACCTTGGACCTTCCACGGATATATATACCCAATTTTTCCTAGCTTCCAACAGACCTCACAACCTCTGAGGATGCCTGCCATAGATGTGGGTGAAACGTCAGGAGAGAATGCTTCTGGAACATGGCCATATAACCTGGGAAACTCACAGTAACCCAATAATAATAATGATAATAATAATAATAATAATAATAATAATAATAATAATAATTTGGACTTACAGTTTAAATAAGACAAGTATGGAGATGGCATCAGCAGAGGGGAATTAATTCCAGCAGATTCTGGCTTCTCTTCTCTCCCTCAGAGAACAGAGCAATGAATACAAACTTAACTTAAAAGCACTTTCATACAAAGCACAGTGTTTTGTGAAAAATATGATTTTTTTTATGTGCAGTACCAAGTTGTGTTGTAAATCAGTGAGACTGTATGCTCAAGCTCTGATCAAAACAGACCGAACCATTACAAATCTCACAGTGTTAGGCAGAAGGGTGTCTCCACAGGCCAAGGCATGCTTTCTCCATAAGGAGGAGAAAAACTAAGCATCTCTGGTTCAGAGACTGTAAGCCATATGTTTAGATGAGGGGCAAGAGACAACTCCAAAACATGAAATAGGAATCATTACAATAAAGTGTCTAAACTGATTGGTGTGGTTTTCTTTCATACAGGGAGAGGAAGCGATTCGGAATCTGATTTGCCACATCGAAAGTTGCCAGATGTGAAAAAAGACGATATGTCTGCAAGGCGGACATCCTACGGTGAACCCAAATCAGTTGTGCCTTTTAACCAATACCTCCCCAATAAAAATAACCAGACTGCCTATATTCCGGCTCCTCTCAGGAAGAAGAAAGCAGAACGTGAGGAGTTCAGGAAAAGCTGGAGTACTGCTACTTCACCTCTAGGAGAGAGACCTTTCAGGTAAGGTCTTGGCAATGGTCTGAATGTACCATATCCTATCCTATGCCCACAGGCAACAAAAATCTCTCTCATTCATAGGTACCCAGTACATGATTTGGTCTTGCCTCTTGTTTACTTGACTATTTGTTAGGCAACACTTGCATGATGTGATGTTTTCCTTGGAATGTTATGGAAACATAGCTATTCTTGGCTTATGGAATCCAAGAATTTTTCAGTTAGCCTTTCTGTACATGTATGGTGATTTAATATGTTTTAATTTTAATGAAATCATTTTATTTTACGTCACTACAGTGCAACATATCTGAAACCAGAGAGCTGGTTTTAATACTCTAAAACTCTGTGGATGTCGCTATTTCCTCATGTGCACTCTTTGTGTTCTCACATTTCTCCATACATATATGGACAGTCCCCAAGTTACAAATGTCTGACTTGCATACGACTCCTTGTTAAGAACGGGGTTGAGACAACAGGAGGTGAGAGAAATCAACCCCTCGGAAGGGAAATTCACTCTTGAAAGTGTTATCGTGGCAAAAAAGTGTCCCAACTGAAGCTTTACTATCAATTCTTGCTTCCACAACAAGCCATTTTTTTCAAAATCCAATTAGACAGAAAATGAGGCGACTTACAAAAAAAAAACAAGTTAAGAACAAACCTACAGACCCTTTCTTGTTCGTAACTTGGGGACTTGCTGCACTGTATTTCTTCCATTCTAAAATATATTTTTTTCCTTTCTAAACATCTCTAAAAATGGGATGCGTCTTAAAATTGCAGGTGTCTCTTATGTATTTTTGCTGTTGTTGGTGATACTGTAATTAGGATGTGTTTTACAATCAATGGGGTCTTACAATTTGAGAACTAGAGGATAGTAGAAGAACAGCTAGAGTAACTCAACACCTGTGTCCAGAAGGTTTGCAGTACAAGGCTTTCAGGAACACAACAGAAAGGATGGGACAATATGCACACCATCACTTTCCTTCCTATTGGACCTTGAATTGCATAAAAGAGGAAGAGGGAATAGGATGTGTCTATCCACAAGGACATGGAGACTTTGTGATTATTTGAAATACATTGAGGCCATGTGTTTGTTAAGGTGGTTTGAATTGTTTTAAGTACTTTAATATCAGTGTGGTTAATAGGCTTGGTTGATTTAAAAAGATGGTTCAAAACCCGTTTCGGATGTAGGGGGCGATGGTGGTTCAATTTGGAATTGAATTCTGAATTTTTCCCAATTTTTTTTCGGAACTTTCTGAAATTTCCAAATCGCTTCGTTAATGGCGAAAACAATTGTGCAATACACAAAAAACAGCATAGGCATGAAAGTATGGGATTTCTCACAGCAAACAAAGAAAAAGAGAAACTGCTCTGAGAGCTTTATGGGCCTCTTGAGCAGGTTTCACCAGTTAGGGAATTATAGGCAGGAAAGTATGGGATTTCTAGTGTCTTCTTCGGCAACTCACGGCAAACAAAGAAAAAAAGAAACAGCCCTGCCCTTTTTGCCTTGGAAGCTGATTTCACTACTTTGGGAAGGAGACTTTGTGTTCAAAGAACAGCTTGAATTGATGGGAGATCTAGTTCTTTTGAGACAATGTGCAATACAAATTTAAAAACACTGAGGTCAGAGAGACCAGCTACAATGATGGCTTTTAAAAATGTTGGAGTGAGTGCTTTGATTCCTCTGTGTTGCTCCCACCCACGCCACTCACCCACACACACACTACCCTCACGGTGCCCACCCGACCCAAACCCCAACAGCAACAACACACAAGCGGTGGCAAGGCAGCCTGTGCCCGCTGCCAAGTTAGCCAGGCAGGCAGGCAGCCAAGCACGGCAACAGTCCTTCTCCCAGCCCTTCTTCCTTGCCCGCTGTACTTTTCTTCCAACCTCTCTTCCCTTAATCTTAGTCTTTCCTTTTCCCCTTCTCCCTTCCCTTCCCGGCTCCGAATGAGCCTCTGAGCCATGTGCTCCCCTTTATATACAGCAATGGCGGCCAGTGCCGAAACCCCTCCCCTCCCCAAAACTTCTCCCCTGATTGGCTGGGAGGGGACGCAAGGAGCCTCTCAGCAGGCTAGAGGGCTGAAAATACACTGAATTGTTTCCGACTCACTTCCTGAGTCATAACAAAAATGGCGGAGAACGTTTTGGAAGGGCAAAGGGACTTCCGGGTTTTTAAAATGCTTCGAAATCATTTCAAAAAGGTAATTTTAACTAAATTATTATGAGTAACGAGTAATCCAACGCAGCTCTATCCATGCCTAGTTGTTAAATCAAAGTAAAATGAATTGTATCCAAATTATGTTGAATTAATTTCCCATTGAATTTACTGATTCTAATGGGATCTAATGTTAACCAAATCTGATGTGTTCACAATCTGAGTGCAACCTCATTGAGTCCACATCTGTACATCAAAGTAGTGGGAGTTCTCTTCTCCTTTACTACATGCCATTTCAACAACCTCAATTAATTTGATGCTAGAGTTACTGATCTGCTCTGCATGGTGAGAAGTAACAGCAACTCAAGAAATGTGTTGTATAATCATTTGCTCTATATAACATAATAGCAAAACCCATCCTGAAACCATAGAAGAAGAGCAAAGCGAGGTACTGGTACAATCTGAAGAGGATCTGGGCTGCACCATTTCCACTGCTGTTCCCTTGGTTGAGCCAGTTCAGGCAGACATAAGCCAACAAGACCCCTTACGTCAGTCTCCTACACATTCTGCAAACAAAACAGCAGGGCCCAGAAATAACGAAAAGGATCCTGAGGAGCTCAAAAAGCTAAGAAGGCTTGAAGAGGCTGGTATTAAAATCATGCCAGCAGCACAGCGCTATGGAAGCAGGTTAGCTCCATGCCACGGGACTTGGTGTGTGTATGCATCAAGCTTTGAGCACTCGTTGTGCTTTGTGGTACTTTTCAGTTTGCTGTAACCCTCTAACCACTTTTTGAAAATCCTAATAAATATAATTTGCTGTCCCCAGTTTTGTTACATTAGAAAAAAGATTTTGCAATCGAAGGGGTGGTGTTCAATGCATTAGCCTGGCGTTCAATGCATTTGTTGCAAAAGAATATACACTGGTGTTTTTCTTGGCTAAAAAAAATGTGATTGCTTGACAATCTCTAAATCGCTAGGTTTTTTGGGGTGACTGGACTGTGCTTGCATTTGTGTTAAATAGATCTGTTGCATGTAGTTGTATTAACTAATTTAAACACAGATTGTGAAAATACACTGCCCAACCATGCAACAAACATTGCGATTTGGAAGAAAAAGGTGGACACACATTTGGGATTTAAAAATTTCCCACACTCTTAGTGATTTAATCCATTAACGAAAAAGCAATTCGGATTTATAAGATATGGGATTTTGCTTAAGGAATTGAGCTGGTTATGCTTGTCATGATGAAGCCGAGAATCTGACTGCAAAGTTAGAGATAGAACGTTCCTCATGTCAAAGAGGCAAGGCCAGTGTTTCTTAAACTTACTGATCTGGATAGCTGGCAGTATTTTCCAGTGCACTATAGACTATATTTGTGCCATATTACTGTAATATTCACATTGTTTCTTGGAAACTGCCCAAAGGAAATAATGGTTTGCAAACCAACAGCTGTCTGTAGATCACAGAAGTAACACAGAACTAGGCAACATGGGGCAAGGTGTCATATAGGAGTGCCTTGCTTTCACTGTTAGATAGATCCTGATCATTGATGTCATGATCATCCTGAGATCTCCACATTCCTTTTTCTCACAATAGGAAGTGTGACTATCATAGTTTCCATCTTAAATCCCATGAGGCTGTTGTTTCAGATGGTATCATAGTAGATTAAATCAGCTAATCCTCCTACTCTGTAATATAATTTCATTTTACTATTCTCCCAGCTCTGGTTAGAGAATGAGGATGGGTGTTAGTACTCACATGCCTCCATCTATTGATGTTCATAATTCCCTGGAAGATTCTTACTTACTTACTTACTTAGGCGATCCTTCATTGTCTGAGTATGATGGCCTCCCAAGTGCAGTGTCTTGGCGGTGGATACGTAGGTGACTGTGAAGCCCTATTCTTAACCCGCATGTTCTTCCACAGTGAGGACATCGGTTTCCAAGTAGAAGGCGGTCCCTGTCAGGGTTGGCTTGACATGCCTTCCTCTTGGCAGATTTCTCCCTTTCACCCTCTATTTGTGTCTCTTCAAATTCCACAACACTGCAGGTCACAGTTGACCTCCATCTAGAGTGCTCAATGGCCAGGGCTTTCCAGTTCTTGGTGTCTATGCCACAATTCTTAAGATTAGTTTTAAGCCCATCTTTAAATCTCTTTTCCTGTCCACCAACATTCCATTTTCCATTCTTGAGTTGGAAGTATAGTAGCTGCTTTGGGAGACCGTGATCGGGCATTTGGACTATGTGGCCAGTCCAGCGGAGTTGATGGCGTAGGAGCATCACTTCAATGCTGGTGGTCTTTGTTTTTTTCCAGCACACTGGAGATTCTACTTTGCATCTAAATCAACAGATAGAAGTGGGGATTATTATTATTATTATTATTATTATTATTATTATTATTATTATCATGGTTGATCTATATATTATGCTATCATACATACGCTCCCCCTCTTCTCTGCAACAGACACATACTCCAAACCAAACTTCATTTAGCTCGAAGAGAGACCGTTCTCAACTCAGATTTAGTTCCAATAGTAGAGTGTTGGCCAACTTCAGCAAATATTTGAAATCATGTATAGCTTACCCGTGTCAAGAGTGTAATGGAGAAGCAATTTATATTCTTTCATGCAAATGAGAATATACAAATAGAGGAGTGGTATAAAGAAGCATGGAAAATAGCAATAAACGATAAATTGACATGTATATTAAAGGTTAAAAAAGGTATATGGAAACAAAGCGATTTTGATGCTGTATGGGGAAGATTTGTGGTAAATGGATTAAAAAATAAGGAAGGAAAATTACCGTCACAAGAAGAAATGAAATTTTGGACAGATGAAATGTAAGAAGGGTGGCTTGAAATGGGTGGAGGGGAGCACTGTGGTGAAAAAAGGGGGAAAAAAATGAGAAAAAGGGGGAGAAATGTCAGAGTAAAATAATAAAATAACATGTTAAAGAGGTTGATGTACAAAATGTAATAGTATGTAATAAAGTGATAAATTAATAAAAAAATAAATAAATAAAAAAAAAAAGCAAATGAGAATGGCAATTTAACTTGGCTTTGTAATTTAAAGATCATATTATTCATGCCACTAAACTGTGTTCTAGAACTTTAATTTGGACTAGCCCTTTAATTGGGACTAGCTTTGATGCCACCTGGCATTTGTCCTGTAACAAAATTTTGAAACGTAAATTCAGAAAACAAGAGTTTAAGTTTCACTTACAGTTAGTGTATGAGGATTGTGGATCTGCATTCGGTCCCCAAGCTTTTGGAACAATTGCAATAGGAAAGATATGCATATCACATTTTATATATGAAGTGTAGAAGGAAGCAAGTGTTGCTCACACTTCCTCTGCTTAGTTGTCATGTGTTAAGTTAATCTCAGGTGACTTCTATAAAGGTTTCTTACTTTTTAGGCAGCACTGTAGGCAGTAAAATAAAACTTCTTCATCAGGAATATACATTACAACTCAACAAATAACCAAGGCAATGGGGTGTTTCAATGACATGATCTGTTAGGCTTAGATATAAAGCTTGGGTGAGAAAACAGTATTGTCCATTTTGTCAGTCTTGGTTATTTTATGATCCATGACATTGTTTAGACTCTAGAAGAAAAACAGTGAGTTCACATTTGGGTTCCTGAGTTCATTATTTTTTGGCCAGCAGTGTTACATTGGGCACAATATGTTCCGCATATGTTTGAAAAGGTTAATGACCTTTGACCATTAGGCGCAGTTCCAGTCTTCAGGGTTCCCCTTCAAAGGCACAAACACATGTGGACAAATATATTGTTTAGCCAAGTGCAGCAGAGGGGGATCTGGAAGTCTGACATCATCTTACCAGCAAAGATCTTTGTGTTCTCTTTACAAGGACATCTTATGCTCCCTTTTTAAGTTTTAAAGACGCTATCCAAGGTATTGAACCTGCTTTGGAGACAAAATTCAACAAATTGGAAAACTTCTACAGATTAAAGACCACTTTGGGTCTTGTATTAGGAGCAAGTCAGGATATAAATAATGTAAATAAACCTGAAGTTGATTCACCACCCAGAGACCGGGGACCTATCACTTGTCACTTCATGCAGAAGCCATAATATTTTTAAACCAGTTTAGGGTTTTTTTATGTAGACTTCTACATGACTTCTAAAGATCTGCAAGTATCTGAAAAGACTGTAATGCAGAAAACTTGAATTTCTGTGCCTACATGGTTAGTAGTGTCAGATCAGGGGTGTCTGGAGAATCTGTTCTCAAAGGAGTAGTGGATCCGTAAAGTAGTAAATAAAGATCTCAATTTACATCCATTCCTCCTGCAGCTGTTCTTCGTTGTGCTATTCATGAGCTATTCAGCTGCTAGACCTTATTCCCAATAAGAGTTCAGCACTGCTTGAGCTCCTGTGTAATATGGAGCAGTTACAGAAGTGATGGCTGTAACCATCATAATAATAATAATAATAATAATAATAATAATAATAATAATAATAATCACAATCATTTATTTGTAGCCCTATCTCTCCGAGGGGACTCATGTTAACTTCTAACGTAATAAGGGCAAACATTCAATGCCTGTACAAAACAGAAGTAACAATATAAACAACAAAAAATAAAGTACATTACAGAAAATGGAGCCCCTGGTGACACAGTGGGTTAATATTTATTTATTTAATTTATTTAAAACTTTTATATCCCGATCTTCCCACCTCCATAGAGGGACTCAGACTGACTTAAACCCTTGTGCCAGCAGGACTTAAGACTGACAGGTCGCAGGTTCAAATCCGGGGAGAGCGCGGATGAGCTCCCTCTCAGCTCTGGCTCCCCATGCGGGGACATGAGAGAAGCCTCCCACAAGGATGGTAACAACATCAAAACATCCTGACATCCCCTGGGCAACTTCCTTGAAGATGGCCAATTCTCTCATACCAGAAGCGACTTGCAGTTTCTGAAGTCACTCCTGACACACAGACACACACAAAAAGAAATTAAAACAAGTAATGTAAATAATAACAATTAAATAATCAACATTTAACCCATTAAATGCCAGGTAAGATAGCATATCAAATCAGTTTCCTAATCCGTTCCATTTAGCAATGTTATAAGCTCTATTTCTCCTTCTCATCATATGCTTGAAACCATGAGTAGATTCACCATCCCTACATTGGATCTCTGTTGTTGTTGTTGTTGTTGGTGTTATATTTATTATCAGTAGTATATTTATTTGTATCTCGCTTTTACTTTACAACAAAAAGCCAACAATGTCTCTATTTATGACTTTAATTCTGGAACAAATACAAATGAGAATGACTCATTCTTCCATTTAGAAAAAAGTACTATTATTCCTCAAATACTTCACTCCAAATAGAAATCAAAACAGATTCTGGTCATGCATTTAATTTCGCTCTCTTCTAAGCCTTTTAATGCTTCAAAATTATTTTCCCTACATTTCCAACTCTACAGTAATAGCAGTAGTATGGCCTCTACTTTGAAAAAAAAATCAGATCATCCCCACATCCTTCAAAATGTTTAGGCTGGATTGGGGAGCCTGATCATTATTATTATTATTATTATTATTATTATTATTATTATTATTATTATTATTATTATTATTTGAAACACAAGATGAGTCCACAGCAGACACTCTGCTGGCTGTTGTATTGGATCACACGTCGGACACTTCCCAAGTGTCTAGGACTATTATGTATTATTATTATTATTATTATTATTATTCAACTGTGAAACACAACCTGGTCACTATGGGTCATCTGCTCTTCCGTGGATGTATACAGCGATAAATTACCGTGCATATTTGATGTACCCAGTCCCTGCCTACCCTTTGGTCTTAATGTAGTTGTGCCTCTGCAGTGGAGTTCCCAAGTGTCTAGGACTGTGTGATGTGTCAGTGAATAATACGTGCAGATCCCAGTATGGTGGCCTTTTGCAACTGGCAGATGGTAATTTTTTTAGCGCTGATTGTGTTTAAGTGCAAGCCAAGGTCTTTAAGCACTACACCCAGTATCCTGATCACCACTGGGATCACTTTGACTGGCTTGTTCCAGTCTTTGCAGTTCGATCTTTAACTCCTCATATCGTGTCAGCTTTTCCTGTTGTTGTTGTTGTTGTTGTTGTTGTTGTTATTATTATTATTATTATTATTATACTTTATTTATATCCTGTCCTATCTCCCCGGAGGGGCAGATTCCAAACATAAAAGGCAGACTTTCAATGCCTGAACAGAATAACAATACATCCATAACAATGAAAATTGACCACCCAACCTATAAAAACAAATTATGACTTAACAATTAAAATTAAATTAAAAACACATCCTGTTACATCAGACACGAAACAAAACATCAAATATCAAACAGAAGCGTCAGTCCCAGTTCCTTGAGGCAAATAGATTGACCATTGCTCAAGATATCTATTGAGCAGGTGGGGCAAACAGGGCTTGGATATTGGAAATTTAAATCCTCAATGTACCCCATGTGCACAAAGATAAAATAAATGCACACAATGAAATTTTATTTCAGCTATAATGTTGGCTCATTACTAAAAGCGGATTAGTAGCTATTTCCATAGCATTTTTAAAAACTGGCAACCCATTTGATATCTTTGCAAAGTTGCCATGGGGAGTCCAAATGTCATCACAATAACCTGCCAAAAGTGGCAGAAGAGTTAAAAATCATAAATTATTATTTAACGGCATTTATGAATAATGCAGGAATGAAAGTAGTTACATTATTCTGAGTTCTGTTTCCCCTTTCTGTTTTAAAAAAACAGATATGTTTGCCAAAGGGATGGGCAGAAAGCCAGTAAGTGCTCCCAGTGTGTAGTGGGAGGTGGAGCATGCTCCAATCTAGCTCAAGCATGAACATTATAGGATGCAACTACAGCAACCTCTTTCATTTTGCTGCATGGAGTCCTAAATCATAGAGATTTTTCTCTTAACTAACAGCATTTATAAGCATATTTTTGCCTTTTTTAAAAAAAAACAAAGATTTGTTTTGTCTTTTTCTATTTCAAATTTGGATTTCTTGTTTTAAGTTTGCTATGTCTCAGTCAAAAGCACGTCTCTGAAAAGAGTGAGCTTACTCCAGACATCATCCTCCGCAAAGAAAACCCCTTTATGCTGTGCTATCAGCAAAAAGATTCTGGCTCAGAAGACGAACGAGATGAGAAAATCCCTGACATAGAGAAAGATGACTTTGCCATACGCAAAGCAAGATTAAACCAACCCAAACTTACACTGCCATTTCACCATTACTTTCTGGGATCCTGTACAAAAAAAGAGCGAGGTAAAGTGGAAGAAGGGAAGAAACAAAGCGAAAAAGAGGACAATTCAAGGTGTGCTCATCTCCTTCTTTCTGTCTTGTTTAATTTAGTTTGAAATGTTCAAATAGTCAAGTAATATGATCCTGTTCTCTTCCTTTGTGTGTTTTTAAACTGAAGTTGAAAACATAGGTCATAATATTGCGCTTACATCTGGAAAGAGAGAGATCTCCAAATGTACTGATTTTGTTTATTTATTTATTGCATTTCGATACTGCTTTTCTCACCCCTGGGGGGACTCAAAGCGGTGTACAACGTAATAAATGGCAAAAATTAAATGCCATCTCACTTCCCCCCAATTTAGGCATCCCAGAGACAGGGAATAGCGCCTGCCTTGCACCCGTTGATCTTGTTTGTGATGTCCACATAGTTTAGTGCTTGGACTTATGGTGTCCAGAGTGTGGAGACAAAGGGCGAGGGGAAACCCTCCCTCCTCCCCCATCATTTCATCGCTCTGGATATGGTTGCTTCAAGTGCTAAGTGACAAACAGCACCCTTTTCTTGACTGATGAACACTGAATACAGAAGATTGAGGGGGTCAAGGTTAGGGTCACAGACAAGCAGCGGTGCTCCAGTTCCAACACCATTTATCGGTGCAGCTACCATTTAGCCAAATATCCAGAATAATATTTTTTTAATTCTGCTGAAAGACTGCACAATTTTTTAAATAGATATTTTGGGTGCCTTCCTAGTAGAGGTGTGCAAAAGAACATATTTATTATTTATTTATTTCGGGCACTTCTACCCGCCCTTCTCAACCCCCTGGGGGGACTCAGGGCGGCTTACAACCGGCACAATTCGATGCCAACAATTCAACAGATAAAATACATAACAACAATAACCACAATAGTTAAAACATTCAATTAATACAATAACAACTAAAAAGCCAATCTAGTGGCCAATGTTCACCGAGTTCTAAAATCCGTAAGTCCATTCAGCATTACCATAGTCCTTTCCAAATTCTGGTCGTCATTACCTTGTCAGTCTGCCAGATTACCCAAAGGCCTGGTCCCATATCCATGTTTTCAGCTTCCTTCTGAAGGAGAGGAGGGATGTTGATGACCTAATTTCCCCGGGGAGTGAGTTCCACAGGCGAGGGGCCACCACTGAGAAGGCCCTGTCCCTCGTCCCTACCAGCCTCACTTGTGATAGAGGTGGGGCCGAGAGCAGAGCCTCTCCAGAAGATCTTAAACTCCGAGGTGGGACATAGAAGAACATAAATCTAGTCTGTTTTCGTTCAGTTTTCATTTCGAATGTCAGGTGCCCCCCTCCCCCAGTTTCTGTTTTTGGGAAGTTTCTTCTTCTTTCTTTTGGGAAGATTCTTCCCAGAAACAGAACTCTGGATTCCGAATTACAAATCCTAACAGTCGCAAACAGAATGGAAACATAACAGACTTCTGCCATTTCGCACCCTGTACTTCCTAGTGACACCATTGGATATATGGAGTTGTTCCCACCTCCGTCTGGCAGTGTTTATTACAGGAGAACTAAATTTCTTAGTGAAAAAAAATAGTTTATAGTCATAAAAATTAGCTTATAGTCATAAAAAGGGCTGCTTTGTGGCAACAATATGACAGTCAGCATTTATATTGTGCGTCTAATACATGCGTAATGTCTTGGAATAGTTTTTGAATAGTTTATTACAATTCTCAAACACTCCCATCATCCATAGTGGTTAAATATTTGGTAGCATTGAAAATCCCCAAGAAACGTTGTATTTGGGAACAAAACTTCAATTCATGACAGTACAGGAAGTGGACATCCTAACTGTCAAAATGAAAGATTGTTAATTAATTAATTAAACTGTGCTAGCCAAATGCATGAATGGATTTATTTATCCGGGCTATTAATGCATAGATTGTCTGTAAAGCACACAGCTTGTTGGCTCCAGAGGATGTCATGGGTTGTCATTTGTCAGAGCAGGACCAAGCCCACTATCCTAACAACACTGCTGTCCCAACATAAAAGGTCAGAAGCACAGTTTCATTTTCACTCCCACTCCTCTATTGCAAACTAATAGGGCCCACTGATGGTGCCATACTACCAGGAGTGGGTGATATATGTTACGCTTAAGCGGTGTTTAGTCCGGTCCAATGCAAAAGACACAATAACTTTGTACAAAGGCAAGAGGAAAAAGAACAGAAAACTTTACTCTTGTAAGCAGAGTCAAAACATAAACTTGGAGTGTTGTATACAAAATAAACAGTGTAACAAACTTACGTAGTCCTTGTAAGAATTACAGAATGCGAAGAGCGTGGCATCTTCATCTTCCTTCAAATGATTGAACAAAATGCTGTGAGCATAAGCTCCTCAGAGCAAAAGCTGGACTGTATTCTAAAACACATACAGTTATACTGCAACTGTATGTGTTTTAGAATACAGTTCAGCTTTTGCTCTGAGGAGCAAAAGCTGAATTGTATGTGGCTCAAACGTATTAGCTGACCTAGATTAGCAGCTGCACATAATTATTAACAATATAAGGTTTTCTTTAACACACACACTTGGTGTTGATCCTTTTACAACTTACTGTAACAATATAGTCATGCAAGAATTTCTTGTTGTCTCACAATGGAGTGTGCCAGAACTAGGTAGTTATTGTGGTCTTCAAATAGATAGTTTTCTAGTCCCTTCCTTTCCAGCTTCATTTCATTCTTGTATCATTTGTACTGGTGTGCTGTTTATCATTGTCTAGCCCTACAAATCTGTTGTCTCTCCTGTTGATTTTGAAATATGCATTACATTAGTGGAAAGAAGGTACATATGATTTCGACAAGGCCAGCAACATTATGTGAAGCCAAGCCGTGCCTGCCATCTCTGGATGACGGATCTAAGGAGAGAAACCAAGCAAAACTTCCTGACACTCAGAGAGATGGTCTGGCTAGGCGAAAAACTCAGGCTAACCCCTCCCAACTAGACTTGTCCGTTTTTGTGAAAGCTCCTATAACACAAGCAGATAAAGCTATCTGGGATCGACTAAAAGTTTCAGGGAAGTCCAGGTATGTTGTCATAAAGGAAGGAAAAGTTAAGCTTCGCGTTGCTTCCAAAGTCTTGCTACTACCGCTGTGCCTTCAGGACAATTGCTTTTAGCTTCTAAATTCTAATGGCAAGCAGTAATTTATGCATGTGCTGTGTTAGTCTGAGGTGTACACAGGCATATTGCTGCAGTGAAGCAAAATACCAGTCTTTGCCATAAAGTCCAGTAGTGACCCATAGGCCTTTTTTTTCAAACAAATTATTTTCTATTAGTCTTATTTAATTAATTATTTATTACAGTATTTATATTCTGCCCTTTTCACCCTGCAGGGGACTCAGGGTGGATCACAACACACGTACACATGGCAAACATTCAGTGCCATAGACGCACAACATATATAGACAGACACACAGAGGCTATTTAACATTCCAGCTTCATGAGGGTATGCTCAAATTCCGGCCACCCGGGGAGCTGTCGCTTCACCGTCCACTTGTGACACTGATGGAGTACTTCCTCATTCTTTTTGCACACTGCTGGAGATTTTTATAGCATTGTAAATTAGTTAAATTAGCCTCCCTGCATAAAGCGGTACCTAAATTTCCTACTTGACAGATGCAACTGTCTTTCGGGCTGCAAAGGTCAACAGCAAGTTAGACAAATGGCCGGGAGCTTACTCTGACCTGGGCTCGAACTCATGGCCTTTCAGTCAGTAGTGATTTTAATGCAGCTAACTCCCAACCAGCTGCACCACAACCTGGTCTTCTCTGAGTATAGTCTTCATCTTTCCTAGATTATTACAGGGTGCTTATCTTCCTATTTACAAAAAAAGAAGTAGCGTTTCCCCTCGCTCAATTAAAAATAGCAGTATGGCATTCCTTTTTTGAGGCTTGTGTATAGTTTTTTGATCACATCTGAACAGAAATCATGAATAGCCCTTATCGTCGTCCTGAAGAGTGAAATGAAGAATGAAACGTTTTTCCTCCCCTTGTCTTTTCAGACACAAGTTTCCATTTTGGGCTTCCTTCCTCTTGGCACATCCAAGCAGGAAGCAGCTGTTCCAACAGGCCTTGTTAGCTCTGACCAACATTACGTAGGAGCTTGTCTGAATCAATCAAAGCTAAGACGATAGCACTGTGTTAAATTCAATGGAAGGACTGAGACACAATCTGACTTAAAGGTTTACAAAGCATAAATAAAATTGCCGCTGGAGCCGTATGTACTGCCGAGATTTCCAAGGGCGTCATGCCATCACTTGGCACCAAACCGCTGCTGTTGCTTCTGTCTGATTTTTTTCATCTCTGTGGCTCAGTTTTTGCAATGTTGCTTAAATTTTTGTTTTCCTGTGAAGGATAACTCCTTCCATACTGTACCAATAGTTTCTTGGCTTGATAGTTCTGTGTGTATATGTGTATTGATACCTCTGATTGGCTGCTTTTACTTCAACTTTTAATCACATCTTCAGTTTTGTTTTTCTTAGGGCCTTCCAGATAGGCCCTATATCCCAGGATCTGATCCCAGGTTTTCTGTTTATTCCAGATTATCTGGCAGTGCAGACTCATATAATCCAGTTTAAAGCAGAAAACCTGGGATCAGATCCTGGGATATAGGGCCTGTCTGGAAGGGCCTTTAGTCTTTTGATATCTTCTTATGTGCTTTTCTTTCTTTCCTTTCTTTTATTGTTAGTGATGAGGAGCTCACAGACACTCCAGATTCACTGCTGTCTTCTGAAATGACAGTGGAAACTGATAACAGTTTTGTAAGTCCCAAAGTGCAAACATGCAAGAAAACTACCACTCCCAAACAGAGGTTTGTGCACTTTGGGCCAGTGACAGAAATTGACCATCAGCAATGGGAGCAGCCTTCCGTTACTATAGCTGTGGCCAAAAACGAAATGGAAGAGACAACTAATAGGAAAAATATTGGGGCTCTTGGGGTATCAAGTGGAACTTCCTCCTCAGTTTCTGTGAGCCCCGAGAAGTCTGTTGCTCATGCTGATGAAGGCCACAGGCCTCATGCTAATTCCAGGTACTGGTTTGTTGCACAGAAAAAGGGATTCAATATACCAGTGGAAAGTGCAATAGCTAGGCTCAGCATCAATATTTATATGTACTGTCTATATTCTCATAGATCAGTAAGCCACAGTCTTGTTTCCTCCTTTCTCACCGGCACAGTTGCTAAACCCACAATAAATGGAAAGCTTATAACAAAAAGCAAGATGTATTCTTCATTTTCAAATTCTGTCTTGTTTTATGACCTTATTATAAAGCAGTGGTTCTCAACCTGTGGGTCCCCAGATGTTTTGGCTTTCAACTCCCAGAAATCCTAACAGCTGGTAAACTGATTGGGATTTCTGGGAGTTGTAGGCCAAAACATCTAGGGACCCACAGGTTGAGAATCACTGTCATAAAGGGATGCTTCATCTAGCTTCTGGGGAGGAAAGAGGGAGCAGCGGGGCGAATCTGTTGCCCCGTACATAGCTTCCTCTGCATCACCCTCGCGGAGAGGTCCCGTGCTGGCTCCGTAGGAGACAGAACTACTTGGGAAGCCTCTTGTGTTACAGGAAAAATACCTGGCAATGCTTTAACCCTGATTGTGAGTGGGGTCTCTGCCAAATGTCACACGATTGGACTCCATCCATTAAACAGGACAAAAGCATCCTAGGACGCTTTCTTCACCTTGTCTGATGAGGTTGAAAGTCTGATAAGCCAAGAGATCCTTGGAAACTTCAAATTTTCTGCTTAAAGGTTGACCTCCTGCATAAGCTGAGGGCAGGTATGAGGGCAAAATTATGGAATCCGTTGATAATCCATGGAGAGAGGAAAGCACCAATGCTATCTCAGGGGATCAGCTATCTGTAGACATTGCCTAGGCCAGTGTTTCTCAATCTGGGGGTCAGGACCCTTGGGGGGTCGCGACGGGATGTCAGAGGGGTCACCAAAAACCATCAGAAAACACAGTATTTTCTATTGATCATAGGGGTTCTGTGTGGGAAGTTTGGTCCAAGTCTATCGTTGGTGGGATTCACCTCTTTGTTTGTAGGTGAACTATAAAGCCCAGCAATTACAAATGTCAAGATCTATTCCTCCCCAAACTCCACCAGTGTTCACATTTGGGCATATTGAGTAGTCGTGCCAAGTTTAGTCCAGAACCATCATTGTTCGAGTCCACAGTGCTTTCTGGAGGTAGATGAACTACAACTTCCAAACTCAAGATAAATACCCACCAAACCCTTCCAGTATTTTCTGTTGGTCATGGGAGTTCTGTGTGCCAAGTTTGGTTCAATTCCATCATTGGTGGAGTTCAGAATGCTCTTTGACCTCACTACCTCTGAGACCTCACTACCTCTGAGGATGTTTGCCATAGATGCAGGCAAAACATCAGGAGGGAATGCCTCTAGAACATGGTCATATAGCCCGAATAGACCTACAACAACCCACTGCTCTTTGATTGTAGGGGAACTATATATCCCAGCAACTACAACTCCCAAATGACAAAATCAATCCCTCCCCTGCCGCACCAATATTCAAATGTGGGTGAATTGGGTATTCATGCCAAATTTGGTCCAGTGAATGAAAAAACATCCTTCATTCATTCATTTCATTCATCCAGTGAATGAAAAAACAGCATAACAGATATTTACATTACAATTCATAATAGTAGCACAAAGAAATCCTAACAGCTGGTAAATTGATTGGAATTTCTGGGAGTTGTAGGCCAAAAACATCTGGGGACTCCAGATTGAGAACCACTGCCTTACAGCATGTTCATGCTCCATAAGGATGGGAGCAAGTATTATCCCAAGTGCTTTCTGATTTTAAAATATTCTAAGGCTTTGGAACACATGTCATTAAAGAAAACCTAGTTGAAAGGAGAGGCCTGGATATGACTGTTATGTAGGCTTGTAGAACTTCTTCAAGAATTGTGTGTGTACATGTATTTACTCTGCCTGAACTTGTTAAAAAGCTACAAAGTTTTCATCCTCATGATTTGCTGAATGATGCTTATTCAAAGACCATTTGCAAGATGGGTAGTTTACAGCCTTCCAAATGCTCTGGGATTGCAGTTTCTATCATCCTTCAGTATTGACTGTACAAGATGTGGCTGAATGAGAGCTGCAGTCTAAAAGCATTTTCCCATCCAGAGAGACAAAAGATCCAAAAAATATTGAAGTCATGAGCTGGGCATTTTTTTTTTTTTTTTGCAGGAAAAGGGGATTTTGTGAAATAATTCAATTATTAGAAGCCTTTACAGGTTGAAAGCCATTGTATTACTTTTAGGAACAAAACATTCATTTTGCAATGTTTGCAATTTGTTCAGAAACAAATTCCAAACAGAATTTATTTATTTATTTATACTATTTATTTTGTTTAAATTTGCGCTACAATGCCCCCTCAATTGTAAGAGATACCTGAACTTTAAGGAGCAGGCAAAAACCATGCAAAATAACTCTTGTCTGTTTGAGGCAAGTGTGAATGTTGCAATTGGCCACCTTAATTAGCATTTAATGGCCTTGCAGCTTCAAAGCCTGGCTAGTTGCTGCCTGGAGGAATCCTTTGTTGGGAGGTGTTAAATGGCCCTGATTGTTTCCTATCTGGAATTCCCCCCCCCCCTTTTTTTTTTAGTGTTGCTGTTTATTTACTGTCCTGATTTTAGAGGTTTTTTTTAATACTGGTAGCTAATTTTTGTTCAGATTTTGCCAATTGCTACAGACAAGATATATAAACCTCATTTGCCTAGTTTCCAACAGACCTCACAACTTCAGAGGATGCCTGCCATAGATTTATTTATTTATTTACTATATTTGAATACCGCTCTTCTCAGCCCTCGGGCGACTCAGAGCAGTTCACAATAGCAAAATTCAATGCTCAAAAACATCATAAAAACAGTTAAAAACAATTACAACAGTAGCATAATAAACAGTCAATATAAATCAATAAAACATCTCATTAGTGTCTCATAGTTAAAATCAAGATCAAGTCTCATCATCCAATTGTTCCATATTCCTATGTTCGTTATGCTGCCTATTCAAATGCCTGCTCAAACAACCAGGTCTTAATTTTCCTCCAAAATGTCAACAGGCAGGGGGCCGATCTGTTATCTGTAGGATATCTGTAGCTGTTCCACAGCTGAGGGGCCACCACTGAGAAGGAGCTATCTCTCGTCCCCTCCAAACATACTTGGGACTGAGAGCAGAGCAGAAACACTCTAGCTCAGTGTTTCTCAACCTTCCTAATGCCGCGACCCCTTAATACAGTTCTTCATGTTTTGGTGACCCCCAACCATAACATTATTTTTGCTGCTACTTCACAATAGTAGTAATTTTGCTAATGTTATGAATCATCATATATATATCTGATATGCAGGATGTATTTGATACAAATACGCGATATGCCCAAATTTAAATACTGGTGGGGTTGGGGGAGGGGATAATTAATTTTGTCATTTGAGAGTTGTAGTTCCTGAGATTTATAGCTAACCTACAATCAAAGAGCATTCTGACCTCCACCAATGAGGGAATTGAACCAAACTTGGCACACAGAATCAAACTTGGCACACAGTTACTCGAATCGAATGCTCACTTTTTTTGGCTAAATTACCATCCCAAAATTAGGGTGCACATTTGATTTGCATAATATGGTCCCATGACCAAGAGAAAATCCTGGAAGGGTTTGGTGGGCATTGACCTTGAGTTTAGGAGTTGTAGTTCACCTACACCCAGAGAGCACTGTGGACCCAAGCAATGATGGATCTGGACCAAACTTGGCAGGGATACTCAATGTGCCCAAATGTAAACAGTGGTGGAGTTTGGGGGGAAATAGACCTTGACATTTGGGAGTTATAGTTGCTGGGATTTATAGTTCATCTACAATCAAAGAGCATTCTGAACCCCACCAATGATAGAATTGGGCCAAGCTTCCCACACAGAACCATCATGTCTTGAAGGGACTAACTTCCACAAACCTCCCTCCAGCCTCAGACACTCTCCCTCACCTGCACATGTGCACCACACTGCCACATGGAACCCTCGTGAGAAAACAGAAAATGTGTCTTCTGATGGTCTTTGATGACCCCTCTGACATCTCCTCACGACCGCCCCCCCCAGGGGTCCCGACACCCAGGTTGAGAAACGCTGTCCTAGCTGGTACATAGGAGGAGATGCGTTCGGATGTGGCCGAAACAGGAGAGAATGCTTCTGGAACATAGCCATACAGACCGGGAAACTCACAGCAACCCAGTGATTCTGACCATGAAAGCCTTCGACAACACATGCATGTCTTTCTCAACTGAGAGAAATTTAGTAGTGATGCATCCTTTTCAGTAAAAGGATGATCAAATCACATTAAAGGTTTCCCTTTCTGATCAGTATTCACCCAGGCTTTTCGGAGCCTCCTTGGTCTATTGCTGCCTTCGGACATTCTGTTTTGTGTTCTGCTGCTCCTTCGTCTGAAGTGGTAGCATAGTGTTTACTTCAGTTGCTGGCAGCACATTACAGAGCTTCATTCTTCTCTTGAAGACAGCTGGTTTTTTAAAAAGGGTCCCCTCCCCTTCCTTTTGGCATTTTTGGAGTGTGCATATTAAAAGTGCCCTCCACTTTCTTTTGTGGGGTGTGAAATATTGCTTGTACGTTCTGCACTGCTCAGCACAAGTATCAGGATTTATATTGATTTGATTTTCCTTTATTTAACCAGACTGTGGTCATTAAAAGAATTTCCCATTGATGGCTACTATTAAAAGAAACTTAAATGTTCAGTTTGAAAGATAAGAGAAAGGGGTGAAAATCTTTTCTCAGTTCTTCCATATGGTTCTCATTGCCTATCTTTTTTTCTCTCCTACTTTCCATCTTATACTGTTAGTGAAATACTATTATCCGAAAGGGATATGCATAATTCATCTGTTCCGGATGTTTGTGATAATCCCGAGAAGCAGATACCTAGCAGCTTGAGTGAATGGAATGAAAGCAGCGAAGAAGAATTGGATGAGACGTTCCCAGATATTGAAAGAGATGACATGCTGGCTAGAAGATTTGGAACTTTTCAGAAATCTGCTAGCCCAGTTCGCACATCTTGCTCTCCCATTTCAGTAGTCGGTAGTCATCATCCATTGAAACAGGAACAAAATGTGATTCTGTGCAGACAGTGGAAGACTCCACAAAAAGTAGAAAGGTCAGAAATTGGCAACCAGCCGTTATGAGCTTCTTAGGCTTTGCATGTTGGACTAACCGTGCATTACATTATTCTACTTCTTAACAAGAAAGTAAAAAAATAAATCTTAACAACAGAAGAAGAAAACAAGCCTTGTAAAGTTTTAGAAAGCAGGAGAAAATAATAGTGTTTTAAAGCAGGGGTCCTCAAACTTTTTAAACAGTCATAATCTCTTAAACTACTGGAGAGTCGGATTATAATTTGAAGTAAACATGAATGAATTCCTATGCACACTGCACATATCTTATTTGTAGTGCAAAAACACTTTAAAACAATACAATAATAAAAATGAAGAACAATTTTAACAAATATAAACTTACAAGGGTTGAATGAAAAGTAATGCCTCCACCTTCGTAACTCCTCAACAGATGGTAGTACTGTTATGCAGCAGGTACTGGCTTGTTCAGTAGACTCTCCTTTACAGTTCCATTTTGGCGGGAAGCCTTAGCATTGAACGGTTGTGTTGTTAAAGTGCGAAGTATGGAACCCTGTGCAGACAGTCGGTCCATGTGACTTAAGTAACGTGCKGTCATTGAATTCCTGACATTAGAAGGTGTCACCTCAACATCTTTAAACTTACTCGCCCAACGACGCACYGTACTCATATCAACACAATCACCATAAACACCTTGCATTCTCTGATGAATCTCCTTTRGGGTGARACCTTCTGCTGTCAAGAATTCAATGACTGCACATTGCTTAAGTCGCATGGACCGACCAAAATGGAACTGTAGAGAAGAGTCTACTGAAAAAGCCAGTACCTGCTGCATACCAGTACTGCCATCTGTTGAGGAGTTACGAAGGRGGAGGCATTACTTTTTATTCAACCTTGGTATTACTATTTTAATGGGAAGTGTGGGCCTGCTTTTGGCTGATGAGATAAGATTYTTGTTGTTGTTGTTGTTGTTGTGTGCTTTCAAGTCATTTCAGACTTAGGTTGACCCTTAGCYAGGGCCGGGTAAATGACCTTGGTGGGCCGTATCCAGCACTRGGGCCTTAGTTTGAGGACCCCTGTTTTAAAGCATCTGTACAGCAGGAAGATTTTAACTTTGGGGTTTAAGATTAATAAGAGGATCAAAATTATAAACACAAAATGGCCTTGAAGTGTCAGTTCTAATAACTGACATCTTCCTTAGTACTGACCTTTTAAAAAGGTCTTTAAAATGGTGTTATAGATCTTATTTGGTATACCTTTGAAATTTAGATCTAACTGTCAGAATTGTGAGGACTATAATGACATCCCATGGGAAAGCAAAATATGAAGAAATCCTCTTCCTGCTTCTCCTCCTACTCCTTGTCCTGATTTCCTAGACTTTTTTTTTCTTTTTGAGGGGCAGTTTTTATTTTCTTTTATATGATGAGTGTGTGTTTATATGTTACGAGTAATTTCCGTAGCCAAAGAAGTGTGGCCACATCTTTAAGACTAAACTAGTTCTTATTTAAGTATGAGCTTTCATGGATATCACCAACTTCTTCAGATGCAGTACAGGATAATGTTAAAGCTTCAGGTTGTAAAGCATATAAAATTGTTGGGTGGGTTAAAATGTAGTAGGATTCAGAAAGATGTAAATCTCATGCCCTCATTATTCAAATGGCTGGTTGAAGTAGTACAGATCATTTAGATCAGGGGTCCTCAGACTTTTTAAACAGAGGGCCAGGTCAAAGTCCCACAAACTGTTGGAGGGCCGGATTATAATTTGAAAAAAAAAATGAATTCCTATGCACATTGCACATATCTATTTGTAGTGCAAAAAAAAAAAACACTTAAAAACAATACAATAATTAAAATGAAGAACAATTTTAACAAATATAAACTTATTAGTAATTCAATAGGAAGTGTGGGCCTTCTTTTGGCTGATGAGATAGGATTGTTGTTGTTGTTATGTGCTTTCAAGTCGTTTCAGACTTAGTTTGACTCTGAGCAAGAGCCGGGTAAATGACCTTGGGGGGGGGGGTGTATCCGGCTCTCGGGCCTTAGTTTGAGGACCCCTGATTTAGATCTTTGTAACCTCAGACTTTAATATCACTCTGTACTACATCTGAAGAAGTGAGTTTATTAAAAGTTCATGCTAAAATAAAAGTTTTAAATGCTCTGCCACATTTCTTTTCTCTCTCATTTCCTTCCTTTTTTTATATACTACACAAGGCTAACACAACTGCTTTTTTGAAAACTTCCATAATAGATTTCTGACATAATGGAGATAAATGCAATAATATTAGGATAATACCTGATATTTTGTCTATTTGGGGTTCCATAAAAGGAGTGCAGAACATTTTATATAGGATTCCTGTCTGCCATCTCTCATTGATATGTTGTCCAGGCTGAGACCTGCTCTTCTTGAGTTTTGTTATAACATCCCAGGCCCTCTGAATATCTACTGGGATTTATATTAGAGAAAATTGTTGTGTGCGATTGATATGCACCTGTTTTCCTCCTTGGTTTTCTAAATAATACTATACCCCAATTGCCTTAGCAGAACACTGACTGGTATAATGCAGTGTGAAAACAGAGTGCCTTCACCTGCATCTCTAAGTCCGGGTGTATTGTGTGAAAATGGCTATGGAAAGTCAAACGATCAAGATGATCACAGAAATCCTACAGCAGGAGAGAAAGGGGCACTTAAAAATACAGGGAACGATGACATGATGGTGAGAAGAACCAGAGCTTTTCTGAAGCAGACTGGACCCTGTGTTAAACAGTTCCTCCCAGTTCCTTTCTCAAAGCAGCAGAATGGTGAGGAAGCAGCTAAGGAGCTTGCAAAGACTGAACAGAAAATGAAGAGGTCAGAAGGCTATTTTGTGATCTTTCATTTCAGCAGTAATTTTCACAGAAGAGCAGGATGCCTGTTTTCATTTCTGCTATAGTCTTTTGTCTCCTTAGGTTAGGTCAGGCTTGTAAATAATTGTTCAGCTTGTTGGAATTGTTTCCAGAAGGGGCAAGAAAAATTAACCCAAATTGTTCTTAATTTTTTTTTTTTGCATTGAGTTGTGCATGAATTGTACATTTTTCATGAGTTTTCAACTTTCCTTGGCTTGCCAGGTCCAAATTTACAGGAGTTTTCTTCTGTTCTATTTAAGATTCCCATTTAGAGTATATATTATGGAAACTTTGCCTTTTGAGATGAAGAACTATTTTTTCATTACAGTAACTTTATGTTTTTGGAGGGGGAGCAACCCACACATACTTCTAAACTGTTCAGAGTTGCCAATCATGGATAATTGCCTTCTTACCTAAGAGGGATAATTAAATTGATTATGAGGACTATACATGTCTCATCTAAAATATAATAAGTTGTTTCGGGTCAGGTATGGCAATGAAATGGCTCCTTTTGTTCTGTTCAGGTAATATTTATTCACAATATTTGGATAAATGGGAGTAGTATTTACAAAAAGCTGCGCTGTTCCAGCAATGTTTAATGTAAGGTGTATAGAAAATGAATTTGAATAGTTGTGATGTCCAGATAATGAAAACCACGGAGTGAAGGAAAAGAGTTGTGTTAGAGCTCTGAAGATTTTGTCTAACCATCGATAAACAAGCTCAAATCAGAACATTGGACCAATACTAATGACTTCATCACATTAATGAGGTTCTGTGGGGCGATTCACCAGTCTCCGTAGTGAATCGGTGGGGCCCAGTGCACTCTGGCCCAGTGCAGCAGTTGGTGCTGAGGGGAGGGGTCCCCAACTGATGACATAGGCAGGAGATAAGGTGGAACTGTCCCCTGCCTCCCTCTCTCTTCACTCTGGCCCAGAGCATCAGTTGGTGCTGGGGGGGGGGTGTCCCCAACTGATGACATATGCAGGAGACAAGGTGGAACTGTCCCCTGGCCCCCTCTTTCTTCACTCTGGCCCAGAGCATCAGTTGGTGCTGGGGGGGGGTCCCCAACTGATGACATAGGCAGGAGACAAGGTGGAATTGTCCCCTGCCCCCCCCCTCTTCTCTCTGGCCCACAGCAGCAGTTGGTGCTGGGGGGAGAGGTCCCCAACTAATGACATAYGCAGGAGACAAGGTGGAACTGTCRCCTGACCCCCTCTCTCTTCACTCTGACCCAGAGAAGAAGTTGGTGCTGAGGGGAGGGGTCCCCAACTGATGACATAGTCAGGAGYCAAGGTGGAACTGTCCCCTGCCCCCCCCTTCTCTCTGGCCCACAGCAGCAGTTGGTGGTGGAGGGAAGGGGCTTCCAGCTGATGGCATAGACAGGATACAAGGTGGCTCCCCACTCTCTTCACTCTGGCCCACTTGTTTGGGAATTTGGACAGAACTAAACATATTTAAGAAGTTGGTAGGTCTTCCTAGTTATTTGTGTTTTGTGACATAATCTCACAGATTTGCTTCCTCCTTGGATGTGTGTGCATTGGGCATGTCCTGTGTCTCACTGTGAGCTAAAAGAGAAATTACTTTTTTTAGTATTACTGTGACGGATTCAGTGGTCTCTGAAAACCATCCAAGGCCTTGCATGGAAATCCCAGAAAGGCTTGTAGTGCATCTTGAAGAGCAGCTGGAAGAAGAGAAATCTAGCACCTCTAGTGAAAAAGAGGGTGTTTCTTCAGATGCACATAAGAATGTGCTTGACCTTGAATCGGTCAAAACTGAACATTCTTCTGAGATGCAGGAAGTTCTTGAAACAAACAGCAAAGAACTTATGTCGCTAGAAGATGAACCAATACAAATGTGAGCAAGTGTGTCATTCAGAAGTAAAGCCTTCTGTGGTCTTTTACAGCATGTTAGTGCATGCATCCTGGAAGCAAATAGAGTCAGCGCTTGTCTGATTTATTTGGTTGTGGATTGACAGTTGCATACACATATCATGAGACTATTATACACATATAATAGTCTTTCTTTGCAAAGCTGTAAGAAATATCTTTTTAAAATGGCATGGGAATAGGGGAGGGGGTTTACAAGAAATGTCTACAAGTGTGATTTTTCTCTGGAAATGTAAAATTTGCTTTCTGCCAAATAATAATGGAAGCATGGACTTACAGGTTGCAGTGTTTTCAAGAATACAGCATGTTTCTATTTACGTAAACGAGGATGGGATTCAATGCAAGAGGTGTTCCAAAATCCAGAAACGTGTCAATTTTCTTTTATAGGATCTAGATTATGCACAGTGTAACACATATACGGTTACGACATGTCTGGCCCGCCTCATAAAACAAACTTTTTATATAAGCTTTTATGAGTAATTCCTCCCTTCAATCAGTTTCATGGTGTGGTTTGCTAACAGGTGTTACAAATTGCATTAAAAAGGTTTTTTTAAAACCCATTGTTGTAATCTTGATCTTTTTTTTTTCTCATTTGCGATGCTCTAAAATTTTGGTGTTGTTTTAGTCCTTTTGATTGCGGGACAAGTTTGCCTTCAAATGAAAATCAATCTCCTTTTGAGGTTTTCGCTCCCACTTCTTCCTCTCCTCACCCTCACTGCAGTTCCCTTCATATATCCTCTTTCTCCGTGTTAAATCTCTCTAATTTTATATTTGGTTTTATAGATTCGGCTCCAGAACTCCTGTGTCTGATGACGCAGAGTAAGTTGTTGTGTGCTCTCATTGGGTTGCCTTTAAACAATTTAAACTGCATGCTTTTCATACTTACTACTAATTAAAAATGCAGTTGTTGCACCATTAGCACCTTTCATTGTTCTGGTACAGAGCTGTTTGAAATGTATGTGCTTTGACATAACACTGCAGTGATATGCGCTTTGTTGCATTAAAGTAATAACTTTTGAGAGAGCAATAAAGCATGTTGCTGCAAAAGCTGGCCTCTGCTATATTGTGATGTGCTCTTCTGTGAAGTCTATAGGGCCACTCCTCTGCTATAATGACTGGAATTGCAACGCTAGAGTTTTTGTAAACATGCAGACTAAATGTAGGTTTAAGTAGAAGGTTGAGTGAATGAGCTGCTGCGTCATAACCTTGCTGGATCACTTGAAGAGCTTTATGTTTCTATCCCCATTTTAAAATCATTAATTGTGGGCTTGTCTCCATGAGTCCAAAACCTCAGGCTCACCCCCAATAGACTGCTACCAGTCTTCATGATGCACAGTTATTTCTGGTGAGTATCGCAGGGTTTTTTAGTTGAAACCAACTATGCCCTGCTTTTAGCAAAATCAGGAGTTATTACTGAGTTTGCTGGGCGCCCTGGAGTATCCCAGGGCTTTGGAACTACCTGAACAGCAGGATTGAATCCGATTCAGTTGAATTCAGTGTTCAAACCGGACACTGACACCTTCACTCTCTCCCTGCACCCTCAACTCTGAGAAATAGGATGAATTGTGCCTCTTTCTCTACCACCGCTCCTAGGCAGAAGGAGCTCTTTCTTAGATCCTTGGCTGTGGTGTCCACACAGACAGCAAGAAGGATCTTCCATCTTCTTCTTGCTGGTTGCAGGGGCATATTGTTTTAACATCGGAAGAGTCTCCCATGATGACCAAGAGCTCTTACTGAGCTTAATTTCTGTCTTGACATGACACCGGCAATGACACAAAAGGTGTGCCACCTGAGGACCAGATGTGGTCTCAGTGCATTCTGGAATTACAGAGTCAGATTTACCAGTGTAGATGAGTTCTGAAAAGCTACCTTAGAAGAGATTGCAGTAGGAGAATATAGGTGGATCTACACTGCCATACAATCCAGAGTATCAAAACAAAAAAATCCAGATTATTTTATTTGAACTAGATTCCCCAGATGTTTTTGGGGGTCCCCAGATGTTTTTGACCTACGACTCCCAAAAATCCTAACAGCTGGTAAACTGGCTGGGATGTCTGGGAGTTGAGGGCCACAACATCTGGGGACCCACTGGTCGAGAATTACTGAACTAGATTATAAGAGTCAATCAATCAATCGATCTTTATTATGGTCCAAAAATCCCAATTTGCTCAGCAGAAAAAGAGCACAGCAGACTCATAATTGAGCTGATCTACCAGGTAGGTTGCTCAGTAGTAGGTTACTAATATTAAGCTGATCCTGCTTGTAAAAACTGAAGGACAATAAAAATGTGATACATACATTCAACTTCCTGGTTATTACATGGGCAAAGTCTTGCATTGTATGGGACTCCTGCAGATCTACTTCAAAGCATTTCAGAATGGAACACATTGCACCTTACCTTGGAGAATAGGCAGCAATATTTGACCACAGTCAAGTTCTTAAGATAACTTGCTTCATGAAGAGGCCCAGCCAGCATAGTGTGTACTTAGGGTGCTTGGGGAACAAGAGACATATGAGTGAGAATGCAGCTCACAGAAGACAATGCCCCACAGTCTCTGTTTAATTAATTTAAGTGCCATATCATAATCCAGATGAAATAAGAAGAATGAAGATAGATCGATAGAAGAGGGTTTTTTAGAGTTAAGCTTGAACAAGTTGTTAGTGTAATTATCCTAGACTAGATGGTGAATCAGACCTGTGCCCAACCTGAAAATACTGACCTAAAGTCAGTGTTTTCAAAGTGGGCTCAGGTCTGATTCTGCACTGCCATATAATCCAGTTCAAAGCAGATAATCCAAATTTTATATGGCAGTATAGTTGGGGGGCATAGTTTAATATTTTCCCTTACTGCCATTTCTCAGTTCCCCTTAGGTCACAACTGTGACCATAGAGCAACGCACACATCCCATCTTGGTACCTTCCAGATGTTTTGGATTGTCAAGTCTTGTCATGATTAAACAATGTGAACAATAGTGAGACATCATAGGAGCTGAAGTCCAAAAGAAATACCTTGATGGGCATCAAGTAGGGAAGGACTTCCTTAGAAAATCATAAACTTCATCTAAGTCTGGATTTTGGCATATGTAACTGCCTATATCCTTCACCCAACTCACATGTTTTGTTACCATCTTTATTAGTTTCCTGTCCCATTACTTAAAGATGTATTTTATGAGATTAAAGTGACATGAGTTAATTAAATGGAATATGTACTATATTTTAGTAATATATAAATTCTTCACACAAAAATTCTGCTCTCATGTATTCATGATGTCCCAAAGAATACTATCCAACTTTTCTTTTCATTTAAAAAAAACCTAGATGTTTCCTTGTTTTTGTGTAATATGCAAACATTTTCAAGGATTGGTATTTACAAGCAAATTAAAAGGAAGAATAAAAATCTACTGCAACATTCCTACAAGACATTGTTTTTTACAGCATTCTAAGGAATGTGTATTTAAAATTGCAAACACTTGGAAATGTGTGTTGCAGACATCAGTTCAGTGAGGAAATTGAATGATATTGATTAGATTTCTAAGACATACTTCAGGTAATTCTTAACAGTTCCCACCCTTTTAAAGACTTTGCTCTATAGCAGTGGTTCCCAACCTGTGGTCCATGGACCATCAGTGGTCTCCACGAACTAAAATATGGTCAACGGCCTCACTGTTACTACACCATTGCAATGAGAGCAACTGGTCTCGCAAAATCCTCTTACAGTGCAGAGCCAACATGGATGTTGGGAGGGGAGAGGCTGACTACCCGATAAAGGCACGACAGCAAGCCTCCTGACTGCTGCTTCTCCTCCTCCTCCCTCCAAATGGAGCCATTCCATGTGGCACCTGGAATCGGGGGCACCTTCGTGTCTGTTTTTAGGCCTGTTCCTGGGGTTATTTGGGCTGCTTATTCAGAAAATTGCATTTGATATACCACATCAGCTCTAGATAATTAAATATGGTTTTCTGTGGACAAGCAGATGGTGACTACTAGATGGCATATGTTCTCTATCAGAAATGTCCTGAGTTGCTCTTCATAAACAGCCTTTAGACAATGTTGAAAGTAAAAGAAAAATGCTTTACTTCAGCAAACACAAAGGATAAGCAAATGCAATTGAAAAGTGCAAAAGAAAGCAAGGAAGTCTTAATCCAGACACAAATTAAAGTCTCTTACAAGTCCCAAAAGAAACACCAGTCTTCCATCAGACAACGGGCAATGAACTAAGTCCTTAGCAGCAGACAGAAAGCAGATTCCGTTGGAGCAAAAACATCAGTATCAGGGTCGTTGTTACCAGTGAAAGCTGACTGCTCCAGCCTCTGATTTACAGCCCTGAATTCCCCACACAAGAGGTGCTAGGGCATCTCCCAATTAGCTCAGCGTTTTTAGCAGCTATTCTGGTTGAACACTGTCTATGCTCTGTCTCTTTACATCTCTCTAGAAATGTGGGCACTTTCAAACCCTTATCGTCTGATTCTTCTTCTCTCTCCAATTCCTGAGCAGTTCCCTGCTCTCCTTCCTCTTCCGAAGATGAGGAATCCCCAACAAGAAACTAGAGTTGATGTGATCTATCCAATACAAATTTCTGAATCAGCACCCCAAACAACCAAACCGAATCAAAGTTGACTCAAACTGATTCGTAACCCTTTTGGTAGTGATGTTGGAGAGTTAAGTCCCTGGTTAAGTGGTCTCTAGTCAAAGTGGTCCCTAGTAAAAAAAAAAAGTTGGGAAACACTGCTCTATAGACTTGCTGTGTGGTAGGTGACAATCTAGTAAAAAATGACACATGGCAGAGGGCAACTACACTACAGCTTTATCATTCAGATTTCTTACATGGAATAACTGAAATCAGCAGATGAGATTTGTTTTGCACTGTAACAATCCATAGTCCTGTTTGGTTATCAAGATACTTTGAGAAGGTCTGGCAATGCCCAACTATTTGGAGGTAGTAGCCCTGTTGTGGCCTCCCATACTAGTATTACTGATTTTTTTGTAGCCAAATTAAAATTAATGGTTTGTTATTTTTTTAACTAGTTTTTTTTTAAAAAAATGTCCACCCTGGAAAATAATATACTTGTTTCATATACTTGTTTCAATTTTCTCCCAAAATGACTCCCTCCTTTTTGAAATGAACATTCGTTTTGCTCATTTAATAGCCCCTTGATTTTAGGATTATATTTCCTCAGAAGCTTCATGTAAACAGTGTCTTATGATACTTACGTAATGATTTTTCAAACTCTGTACAAGATTGCAAAACATGCCTCCATAATTCAATCACATGTTCATTGTTGATACTGATTTTTTAAATAGCTATTCAAATCAATTGCAGTAATAGAGATCTTGGGACAAAATTGAAATAGCATAGATTTTAAGTGATTATCAACAACTGGGAGCAATCTTTTAGTATTATAATTTTCAAACATGAACAGATTTGTTATATGTGGTATATTTATTACATATTAAAACATTTAGTCGGAGCAGGTATATAATCCTTTCCTTGAAAAGTTTAACCTGACACTGTTTTTACTTACGACATACAAAGCAGTAGAGCTTCCTATTGTCTCTCCATAATGTTCAGAGAGGAAAAGCATTTTGTCTCACTTAAACGTTTTGTCGAGATAAGGAAAGCAGCAAAACTACTGCTATTGGCATTGCCTGTGATATGTATTTCCAGCTTAAGGATTTTTTAAAATATCATTGTTTCAAATGGAATATTTTTTACCAAGCCATATTAGCTAAGGTTGATGAAATGAGAGGACTGTTTAGAGACAAATAACAATCCTTGAAGGAATTCAGTATCTAAGTGATGTGTCAGCACTTCAGGAAGGCCTTTTGAACAGTTAGTTATGTGGACAATCTCATTTTCAGTTTTGATCAGTCTTCTTATTGATGTTGGTTTTGCTTTTTATGAATTTTACATAAACCCACTTTGGATTAAAGATGGGACAACGACATACAAAAGTATTGCCAATTCTACAAAACTCAACAATCCTATCGACAGTTCCCCTCTGTTAGGTTAGATTAGATTTTAACTCAGACCACTTGAATATGTGCATTTCCAGGATTGTCTTAGTAAATTGCAGCTCTCCTCTGAAAAGGACAAGCAGTAAGCATCCCATATGGCAATGCTTTAGATCAACTTTGGGGGTGGTTATTCAGCCCTCTGACTACTTGCAAGAAAATACCACTGACTATATGTGCATAATAGTGGAAACGCTTGATTGTCCTGACCCCGTTCTACCAAACCACAATGACTGGCCAGTGGCCATAATGAAATTCCATCAGGATATTCCGCCGGAGCATTTAGGGTCACCTAACAAGAGCTGTTCCCATCACAATCGCAAATGAGACTGATTTGCTTGGCTTCGTTTATGAAATGTAAGCTGTGTTTTCATCAAAGGGACACCAGAAACATGGAGCACATTCCATGTATGTGACATTGGGGAAAAATAATCACTGCATATAATATCTTTGTATACAATGCACTGTGCTTGTGACATTTTATTTTATTTTGTCTAACACTAATAACTTGCCTCTTGCTTCATCATGTAAAACAGAATATTGTGGAATGGAAAATGACTTTTGTTCATCATGTAATTGTACACTAATACATGTTAGAAGTACTTTGGGGGTTGTATTGTTAACAAATTAACAATGAAGTCATGTGACCATTTGCTCTGCATGTGCGCTTGACTGGGTCGGCTCTCACGGCTTATTTATTATAGGCATTAAAACCTACTGAATAAGATAATCTGTACCTCTCAACTGTCTCTGATGTGTCAGATCCATTATTCCAGAAGACACAGTTTCAAAAAGCTTCACTGAGTATGCATCTACACTGTAGAATTAATGCAGTGTGACACCACTTAACTGCCATGGCTCAATGTTATGAAATCATGGAATATGTAGTTTGGTGAGGCAACTTCATACTTTGACAGAGAAGGTTAAAGACCATGTACAATTACAGCTACAAATCCCATGATTCCTTAGGATTGAGCGATGGCAGTGAAGCTGATGCCATAGTGCATTAATTCTACAATGTAGATGCATTCTTCTATGTCTGAAGCTTAGATATGTGCTTTTCAAACTTTCTACCTTTGGAAGAAACAGTTTCCCTTGTGTTGTAGGTTTTTTGGGCTGTATGGCCATGTTCTAGAAGCATTCTCTCCTGATGTGTCACCTGCATCTGTGGCAAGCATCCTCACAACTCTGAGGATGCCTGTCATAGATGCAGGTGAAATGTCAGGAGAGAATGCTTCTAGAACATGGCCATACAGCCCAAAAAACCTACAACAACCCACTGATTCTGACCATGAAAGCCTTCGACAATAGTTTCCCTTGTGTGTATTACAGGGAATTCTGGGTCACATTCTTAGAAACGCGCTTAGCATGACCTTAGAATGGCCTAAAAGTAGAATTTATCCAAAGCTACATTCCCTCTCCACTTTGACTGCTGCTATAAGGTGTAGTTGGATGAGGTGTCTATTAGGATTATTTCCATTCCTGAACCTTCCCTTGAGAAGTCCTGTGAAATGTCCAAGACCTACCTTGTTTTCCCCAAAGCAAAACAGGGTCTTGTATAATTTTTCCCCAAAAGATGTGTTAGGGCTTATTTTCAAGGGATGACTTATTTTTCTAAATTGATTTTTTAATTAACTGTGACTAGGACTTATTTTTAAATAGGACTTATATTTTGAGCATCCTCAAAAATCATGCTCAGGGAAATGGTAGAAGAATTTCCATAAACACGGCATTTCCCTGATGAGTTCTCCACCATATTAAACAATGTAAGTGAAGGACTTGTGCCGAATTCACATTAGATTGGGCCTGCACAACCTGTGGTCCTCCAGGGGATTGGGACTCCGAATTTCTGGAACCTTAGCCAGTTTATCCAATGGACAGGGATTTTGAGAGCTGAGGTCCAAAACATCTGGAGGGCCACAGGTTGTGCACATCTGTATAAGTGAAAAAGCAATTTCGGACATGCCTTCAACTCTTTTTGTCCAGCATTACTGGTGTGTACCATAAGTTGCCAGTTTGCATGTGCTTTTGGTATGTCTAATGCTTCACACTACACATCCCCACCGAAGGCTTTTGATGTGGTAGGAGCACATCCAAAAGCATCTTCCTTGATTTTTCAAAGCTTCTCCAAGGACGAGATGCCTTTCCGTTTGCTCTAGCACCCTCCTGTGGCTGAAATTTTCAGGGTCCAGGCATTGATAGTACATAATTCCCTGACTTACTGATAAAACATTTTTGCTTTCCCTTTCAGGAGTGTGAGCATGTTTGACATGAGATGTGTGGATGAGGCTACTGTAATGCAGCCCCACAGCAAAGCACGCCATGAGAAGCTGCAGACTATTCATAACCAGCTGAAGGAGGATGAAGATCGGTGGCAGGATGTGAGTAGAAGTGCTGTCCTCTGATGTACCTTCAAGACAGACAACCAAGTTCGTTTTCCATATTATTTAAAAAAGAAGTCACTATTCATTACAATTTTCCATTAAGTTGGGTTTATTCAATTCTTTTAAAATATAGCCTGATTATTCGTTCAGTCGTCTCCGACTCTTCGTGACCTCATGGACCAGCCCACGCCAGAGCTCCCTGTCGGCCGCCACCCCCAGCTCCTTCAAGGTCAGTCCAATCACTTCAAGGATGCCATCCATCCATCTTGCCCTTGGTCGGCCCCTCTTCCTTTTACCTTCCACTTTCCCCAGCATACTTGTCTTCTCTAAGCTTTGCTGTCTCCTCATTACCTGGCCAAAGTACTTCAACTTTTTCTCTAGTATCCTTCCCTCCAATGAGCAGTCGGGCTTTATTTCCTGGAGGATGGACTGGTTGGATCTTCTCGCAGTCCAAGGCACTCTCAAAACTTTCCTCCAACACCACAGTTCAAAAGCATCTATCTTCCTTCGCTCAGCCTTCCCTAAGGTCCAGCTCTCACATCCGTAGGTTACTACAGGGAATACCATGGCTTTGACTAGGCGGATCTTTGTTGCCAGTGTGATGTCTCTACTCTTTACTATTTTATCGCGACTGGACATTGCTCTCCTCCCAAGAAGTAAGCGTCTTCTGATTTCCTGGCCACAGTCTGCATCTGCAGTAATCTTTGCACCTAGAAATACAAAGTCTGTCACGGCCTCCACGGTTTCTCCCTCTATTTTCCAGTTGTCAATCATTCTTGTTGCCATAGTCTTGGTTTTTTTGACGTTAGCTGCAACCCGGCTTTTGCGCTTTCTTCTTTCACCTTGATTAGAAGGCTCCTCAGCTCCTCCTCGCTTTCGGCCATCAGAGTGGTGTCATCTGCATATCTGAGGTTGTTAATGTTTCTTCCAGCAATTTTCACCCCAGCTTTGCATTTATCAAGCCCCGCACATCGCATGATGTGTTCTGCATACAAGTTAAAAAGGTTGGGTGAGAGTATGCAGCCTTGCCGTACGCCTTTCCCAATCTTGAACCAGTCTGTTGTTCCGTGGTCAGTTCTGACGGTTGCTACTTGGTCCTTGTACAGATTCCTCAGGAGAGAGACAAGGTGGCTTGGTATGCCCATCCCACCAAGAACTTGCCACAATTTATTATGATCCACAGAGTCAGAGGCTTTAGAATAGTCAATAAAATAGAAATAAATGTTTTGCTGAAACTCCCTGCCCTTCTCCATTATCTAGCGGATATTGGCAGTTCGGTCTCTCGTTCCTCTGCCTTTTCTAAACCCAGCTTGTACATCTGGCAACTCTCTCTCCATGTATTGCTGGAGTCCGCCTTGCAGCATCTTGAGCATTACCTTACTGGCATGTTAAATAAGTGCCACTGTACAAAAGTTTGAGTGTTTTTCAGTGTTTTTATGAGTGATGGTCACTTCTTGGCCTGATAGGTGTCTTGTGTCCAAATTTGGTGTCAATTCATCCAGTGGTTTTTTAATTATGTTAATCCCACAAATGAACATTACATTTTTATTTATATAGATATAAGAGAGAGCTACGCTGAGGGAAGCTAGACCAGCAACCACTATTTCCTCTTGGTACCAGCTGTTGCCCTGCTGCTCCAGTGCTATGCCAAATTCATTAACAAATTATTTTGCCAAATTTCAGTAGGAAACCCCCATTCAAAACAAGCAGTTGCCTTTAACGCAAGCACTGGCTCTGAATTGGCTTTTTCTAGTTCAACAGTGTGGTTTGGGGAGTCTTTGAGTCTTTGGCCACCCTGAGTCCCCCTTGTGGAGAGAAGGGCGGGATATAAATATATGAAATAAATAAATATTTGAGGATCAGAAAATAGTGTGAGGTGCAACATGAAGCCCACAGACTGCATATTGCCCACCTTTGTTCTCGACAAACCCCAGAAATTATAATACTATTGTAAGTGTTAGGGTTCTCTGCGAATCAACAGTTAACAATCAATCATCAGTATTTCCTCATAGGGTTGCAGATCAGTAATGCTGTGCACACTAAGCAAGATTTTTCTGTTCTTCTTCCTGTAGGATTTAGCCCGGTGGAAGAGTCGTCGAAGAAGTGCTTCGCAGGATTTACTAAAAAAAGAAGCTGAGAGGAAAAAGATGGAACGGTTACTGACTGGAGCTGAGGGACCCAGTGAGCGAAGGAAAAGCATCAAGACTTACAGAGAAATTGTGGAAGAGAAGTAAGTTCTTTTAATAAGACACAAGGAGAAAATGTAAGATAGGCTGCAGTATTTGCATGAGTGATGGGAAAGGTAAAGGCAGTTCCTTTCAGTCTCTTCACCCATTCCTCCTTTTTTGGTTTTTGTCCTAAAAGTAGTTATAGCATCATAGTGCATAAGATAATTATTGAAATAATAATTTTTCCACTGAAATACTGAATCACTACAACTCTGAAGAATGCTTAAAAGATCAAAAACATAGTAACATGCCTCTATCTCAACAAACCATATCCTCAATTTCAAAAACCTTCAAGCAAGGAGCCAAGAAATTACTGTTTTAAGCACACACATCCTAATGAGGGCAATGTAATCTGAGTCAGATGAACAAACAACCCATTACCTGCATCACTCAGCCGAGTGAGGAGGAAAACATAATCCAACACATATGATCCTCAATTCACTATCTACCACAATCAGAAGAATCACACAGAAAAGCTTTTTTAGTGTTGTATTACTTTCAGCTACAGGTATCATTTGTGAGTGCATCTAGGTGGGTTGCCTGTTTGGCCCTTCATGGTTAGGAAAGACATTTATGTAGAAAATTAATGTACGTGGGGAAATTATTTAGCCTAGGTCTCATTTCCTGTATGCCACAGGGAAGTGAAAATCTCTTGTTGAGTTTTTATGTATCCCACCTGCATTTTCTTGCTACCCTTGTTTTCATTGTGTTTTCTTTCTGTTCTGAATTTCCTTCAGATTTATTGTGCACATGTTGCTGTGCATTGATTTGCACCAATTGAGCTAATTTACACAACTTCCCTTTATCAACTAAAGCAGCGTTTCCCAACCTGGGGGGCGGGACCCCGAGGGGGTCACGAGGGGGTTTCAGAGGGGTTGCCAAAGACAATCAAAAAACATATATTTCTGATGGTCTTAGGAACCCCTTTGCCAGAGAAAGCTGAAGATCTCTCCACCTGCCCTTCTTTTCCTTTTTGGAAAACAGTTGAGTTATCCTCCTACCAAAACCTCTCATCCACTGTGATTGGCCGGCCTCTCAGCCAAGGGGAGGACTGTTTTTGAGACTCCAAGTAGGGAAGGGAGAGCTGGCGTGCTTGGCGCACTGCGGCGTGATATGCATATGCGGGTGAGGGAGAGAGTGCGAGACTGGAGGGAGGCTCACGCCAGCAAGTCCCTTCAAGACATGGGGGTTTTGTGTGGGAAGTTTGGCCCAATTCTATTGTTGGTGGGGTTCAGAATGCTCTTTGATTGTAGGTGAACTATAAATCCAAGTAACTACAGCACCTAAATGTCAAGATCTATTTTCCCCAAACTCCACCAGTGTTCATATTTGGCATGTTGTGTATTCATGCCAATATGCCGTCGCGCCTGGGGGCTATAGATCTTAGTGAAAGAAACATGGACGTGGCATCTTTTCCCCAGGGGATTGCTTCTTGCCCTCCTTTAGAGAACTGGAACTCTCAAGGATCAAGACACTATAGATAACTCGAAATAGGCTTTATTGTTCACAATGAGTTATCTTTCTTAGGCATAAACTTGATGTTCAAAGGGAGTAAAGAGAACATACATTACAGTCTTTGGAGTCTTGGGTCCAAGGAGTTTTCCAGCTGAGAAGCTTTCCAAGTTCCCTCTTTCTCAATGGCTGTGAATGCCTGAACATTCACAACCCCAGTCCAATAGCCTATATTTGAAGGCACAAAGTCTTCCTCTTGATGCCAAAGGACTGGTTTGAAGGCGCTTAAGATTCCTCAACGTCGTCCAGGGTGATCTGAACATGAAGCATGAATCTTAAGAGTACAAACTTAAGAATTGGTGATAAGAGATGACTTGACTGAGGGCTTTAGAGCCAAGCCTTTCTCACGTCCATCTGCTGAGTTGTTTGATGGTGGAATGAAAAGAAAGCACTGCCCTCTTCCCCAGGAAGGGGCGGAGCCAAACAATTGGGCTGGGGGAGCAATTCAACCGGTGCAAAACAACATTGATAGAAAGCAGTAGATAACAAGCAATTTAGCTATACATTCACATACAAGTGGGGCCACTCGTCACACCAAGTTTGGTCCAGATCCATCATTGTTTGAGTCCACAGGGCTCTCTGGATGTAGGTGAACTACAACTCCAAAACACAAGGTCCGTGCCCACCAAACCCTTCCAGTATTTTCTGTTGGTCATTGGAGATCTGTGTGCCAAGTTTGGTTTAAATCCATCGTTGGTGGAGTTCAGAATACTCTTTGATTGTAGGTTAAGTATAAATCCCAGCAACTACAACTCTTCTCTGTGTCGAGTTTGGTTCAATTCCATCGTTGATTGATTCCAGAATGCTATTTGATTGTAGGTGAGCTATAAATCCCAGCAACTATAACTCCCAAATGTCAAAATCAATCCCCCCCCCCAACCCCACCAGTATTCAAATATTTACATTATGATTCATAACAGTAGCAAAATTACAGTTATGAAATAGCAATGAAAATAATTTGATGATTGGGGGGTCACCACAACATGAGGAACTGTATTAAGGGGTTGCGGCATTAGGAAGGTTGGGAAACACTGGGCTAAAGGGTCTTGCTGTTTTTCAATCACGTGCATGTTAACAGTTTCCATATTGGAGTGTTGTGTGGTTTCTGGCCTATTTCATATTTAAACATTGCACCTTGTTGTGCTGAATTTATTTCCCAGAATATGCTATAAGCCTTACAAATCTGCAAATGAATATCTGTGTGTTCATTTTCTCACACAAATTTTCACAAGGTACAAAAATCATATTTGTGTTGGGACTGAATTCAGTGAAATTTTGTTCCATCCATAGTATGCAAGGTGTATTTTACTTTGATATTATGGGGAGCCATATTACTGTGCAGCTTCTCACATGCAGCATGAGTTAGTACAGGCTCCAACTTTAACCATGGTTAAATTGTGGAGTAAATGGGATGTGGAGGCAAACTGTGGTATATGAATAGGATGTTTCAAGAAACTGTAAGGTGGAGATGAGATGCTCTCTTGCTAAGAACCTTTGGAAACTGGAAATGAATGAGGAAATGAATGGCTATTACTGTGCGCAGTGAATCATTTTGTCAATTTTGTGTCTCTTGTACCCCAAACAGAGAGCGGCGAGAGAAAGAACTACATGAAGCATACAAGAACGCCAGGTCACGGGAGGAGGCAGATCATATTCTCCAACAATACATTGAGAGATTCACCATTAGTGAAGCTGTCCTTGAACGCTTGGAGATGCCAAAAATTCTGGAGAGAAGCCATTCAGCTGAGCCAAATTCATCATCCCCGCCTAAGGACCCAAACCCCCTGCGATATTTACGGCAACAGTCACTTCCTGCCCCCAAATACACTGCCAAGGTTGAGGCAACCATTGTTCCCAGTGGATCCGAAGCCAGCATTTCAACAGGTCGCACCTCTCCAAGCAAACCTTTTCCCTCCAAGGCTGTGCCTATGTTGACACCCAAGCCTTACTCACAGCCTAAAAATACCCAGCAGGTTTTCAGAACATTTAAGGTAGGTCAGATTTCATGAATCAATGAGCCCTTCAAGCAGCAATAACTAAGTTTGAGCACAGATCTGTTTTAGCTGTTTCCTTAATCTGGCTGCTTCGGTTTGTTGGGCAAGGGCTCAGTCGTCATGGTTTCCCTTCCGTAATGGGATCACATGGTAGCCGATCTCGGCTCCTCTTCCCCTGTTTGGCATCACAGTTTAATCTTTTTGATTTTCCTTGATTTTCCTTTATTCTCAGTTTCATGGATATTGGGAGGGGCATTTTACTGTAATAATGGTAACAATAATAATGATAATAATAATAAACAAAACAACAAAAATAAAGTATGGATTGTTGAAGTTGCAATCCCAGGTGACAGCAGGATTGAAGAGAAACAACTGGAAAAGCTGACACAATATGAGGATTTAAAGATCGAACTGTAAAAACTCTGGCACAAGCCAGTCAAGGTGGCCCCAGTGGTGATCGGCACACTGGGTGCAGTGCCTAAAGACCTTGGCCTGCACTTAAACACAAACAGCGCTGACAAAATTACCATCTGCCAGCTGCAGAAGGCCACCATACTGGGATCTGCACACATTATTCTGCCGATACATCACACAGTCCTAGACACTTGGGAAGTGTCCGACTGTTGGGGTTCACCCTGAGTTTGAACCTGATTCTCTGTTTGTACCTCCTGATGCTAATGAAAATATATTTACTGATGCTAATGAAAATGTACTTCTTGATGTCAATGATCCTAAAATTAGTGACAATGCTCCTGAAATTAGTGAGGAAGAAACTTCTGTAGATTTGGAAAATGAAAGTACCAGTGTTCATGAGAATGTTTCAGAGGGAAGCAATGACCTTTCACTCCCTTCTGCACCTGGGAACTTTAATGAGAATAGAAGAGGGAAGATCTGGCAAGTCAGGAGTGAATCACTCAGCTTGTGAAGGTCTTCGAGATTAAAAGCAAAACAAACAAGGGCTTCAAAGCAGGGAGGTGTATCACGAAACCAATTCCTCGGCTTTAAGTGCCTTCCGCTGGGCTTACTTTCTCAGTTCAGGCATCATTTTAGATTGATGAGTACCTTGGCAGTTCTCCCGGTTCCCCTGGCCATCGTCTTGAGAGATTTCTAGGACACCAAGTACGGTTAGTGGATTGCTAACAGGTTCCAGTATTTTACAGTGTGGCTTTGGGTTTTTGATCTTGTTCATGGACATTCATGTTTGCTGATTTTGCTGTGGCTTTTGACTTTGCATTTTTCCTTTATTTTGTAACCATTTTTCATCAATAAAAAAGGATTGTTTTTTCCCAGTCAAGTGTGGTGGATGGTTATCTTAGGGCCTCGTTTCCTGCTCTGGGTTGCAACACCGACGTATGATCCATTACAACAGCCAGCAGAGTGATCTTGTCTGCTATGGACTCATCTTGTTGTGTTTCAAATAATAATAATAATAATAATAATAATAATAATAATAATCTTTATTTGTACCCGCCACCATCTAGGGCTAACATGAGGTCAAGCCAAAACAGTACAGCAAAATAAAATACAAAGAAGCAAAAATAACATCAAAATAAATACATGAAATAACAAAATAAAATAAACAGTTACAAAATAACATGATAGAGAAATAGAACACAGTGGGTGGGCCAAATGCACTAGGATAAAATTGATAAAACCCTGGATGAGATAAGTAGTGGGAGAATGTGTTTCTGAGGGAGGAGCTCAAATGGAACGAACAATGAGGTTAGAACTTCATTAAGGGTGGGCGGAAAAGTGCATCATGAGGATGGAACTGTAGTTGGAACAGACAAAATATGGAATATATGTTCACTCGCCAAACGCTTCCTTTGTCCCTTTCAGAATGGAAATAATAAAAGGATTTTTAAATTATGATGATAATGATAATAATAATAATAATGTTTTATTATCTCAAATTCTACATCATCTCTTTTGGCTTCCATCTACCCTGCAGGTAGATGGAAAAGTCAGCATGAACGGAGAAGCCGTCAATGGAATGGAGGAGGAGCGAGAGAGGGAATGCACAGCGTTAATTTTTGCTCCTTCACCAAGTCGCTCGCCAAAATCCGACTATGGGGTGGAAGTGGATGGCATCTCAGCGGAGGGAAAGCAGGATGCCACAAATCCTGAGCTTGTTCTGAAGAGACTCATCGAGCACAATAAGCACAGAGAGCAGGCCGTAAGGACAAGATCATTATAATTGTTCAGCTTGGGATAGTAGTGGGAACTTGTGCTTTCAGTTTTTTTCATAATGCATTTCATGTGTGCTACACTGAAATGTTCTCCCACCATGTGAGAATCACCTATTTTCAAAAATATCTCACTAGCTGGGATCAAATTCCAGCCATCAGTTATGAGACTGAGACTGATGGATTGGGTCTTTCATGTGGAATGCCACTAATGCAGTGAGACTCTTCCAAAGAGTTAAGAGTAGTTTGAAAGTATGTAGTTAAATTAATGGTTTATAGGCAAGTATTGTCTTAATTGTATTTGGTAATGTAAAATTATCGGAGAATTTGGTTGAAGGGTGGGGAAATTTATCTAGAGCTTCTGTTTCACTGTGGCACAACTGTGGCTTCAACACCATAAAACTGAGACATCCAAAACATAGCATGAAAACTAAGGCTCCTTCTATACTGCCATATAAAATCCAGATTATTTGCTTTAAATTGGATTATATGGCAGTGTAAACTCATAATCCAATTCAAAGCAGATAATGTGGATTATCTACTTTGATAATCTGAATTATATGACAGTGTTGACTCATATAATACAGTTCAAAGTAGATCATGTGGATTATCTGTTTTGGCAATCTGGATTATGTAGCAGTTTAGAAGGAACCTAAGGAAATTTAGGATTGAATAACTGCAGGCTCTGTTTTGGCTTTGATTAAGTTGAATGGAGTCATGTGTTTGAAGCTGGCAGTACCGTCTTCAGTCATTCAGTGACACTTCCCTAACCAACATCAATGCAATACAGTAAAAACCCCATATCCACGAGGGATACATCCCTGGACTTTGTAATGATATGCAAAAATGGGAAAGATCAGGGGTCCCCACTTCGTGGATTTTCAATTATTGCGGGTGAATCCTGGAACTGAACCCCCGTGATACGTGAGGGAACGCTGTAACAAGAAAAGAGGTCCACCAAACGCTATGAAGAACTTAGAATCATAGAGTTGAAAGAGATCTCATGGGCCACCCAGTCCAACCCACTGCCAAGAAGCAGGAATATTGCATTTAAAGTACCTCTGACAGATGGCCATCCAGCCTCTGTTTAAAAGCTTCCAAAGAAGGAGCCTCCACCACACTCCAGGGCAGAGAGTTCCACGGCTGAATGGCTCTCACAGTCAGGAAGTTCTTCCTAATGTTCAGATGGAATCTCCTTTCTTGTAGTTTGAACATGTTAAGAGCTTTTTGACAGTGGAGCAGATTTCTTTGCAAGTTGATACTCTCCTTTGTTGTAACTATTTAAAAATAAGTCAGTTGGCTACTTGTCAGGGATGCTTCCTTTGTTTATTTCTTGCAGTGGCAACTTGAGTAGATTTTTGGTTCAGTTTCAATTTTACAGTTCTGTGATTCTGTGGACTACATCGCCCAGTGACCAGAATACCTAGAAGTTGTCCAAAAATATCTTCTCCAACAGAGTTTCCTACCTTCTCTTAGAAAAACTTTTTAAGGGATCCATCGATTCAGTATCTAGATTTTTAGAAACTTGATTATTTCTTACTTGAAATAGATACTTTTTCAGTTTTATGGCCAGTGAAATATATTGGTATGTATGTGATTAATGCGGCTTCAAGTCAATGCCAACTTGTGCCAGGGGTTTTATTGTTCAGAGGAAGTTTGCTAAGAGTCTACAACTTGTCCAAGGCCACCTGGTGAGTTTCCATGGCCAAGTGAGTATTCAGATTCTGAGATCCTGGCTCATAGGAATGGTCTCAAACCACAATATTAATCATATAATTCTTTTAATGAGTTCTAAGAATTAGTTTAACAAGGTTAAGAATTTCTCGTTCATGCTGTGCCTGGCGGACTAAAATTCACATATTTTTCCCATTCGCTAAAGCTTATCTTCTCTGTTCATGATTTTCCTGAGATGACAGTCAAATTTGAACTCCTGGGTCTTTTCCAATGTAAACGAGCTACTGGTGTGAAATATACCCCACATAATTTGTTTGACCTGCAGGCTTGAAATAACCCCATTTTCACCAATCAGGGCACAAAGATATAATTATGTATCCCCAGGTCTTTCCAGTATGCAAATTAACCCTAGCCAACCATTAAGCATCATTCTCATTACTGTCAGAAGAGATGCAGATTATTTTAGTAGTTGAATTTAGAGGTTAAATGTGGCAAAAATCCTAATATTCCCTTAATAGCATTGTGCTGGCACAGCCGTGCCAGGAGATTTGAACTTCTTTTTCTTGCACTGCTAGTTTGTATGAATTTATTTAAGCCATGCTTTTTGCAATCAGGTAGCTTCCCCAGGTTGCAGTCATAGGGCCAGCAACCTGGCAATCATCGTTACAGCCTTTAGGCCCGCCCCTTTCCCCAGGGTTTTGGAGGGAAAGGAGTACTTTTGTTCAGTCTTACTTTTTGGAGCTTATCAGCAGGACACGTGGCTTTCTCTATCTCACCTGCACAAAGGCTTCATTACTCACAGCTTTGCTGGGGAGTAAAGGAATAGTTCCACAGCTTTGCTGGGAAAATACAGCCAGCTTTTGCTGGGGCAACAGGACAGTTCCTACAGCCTTTGTGGAGAAAACTAAAGGACACCATTTCAGTTTGGCAGACAAGACAGGAACCTTGTCTGGTAAGGGACCACTCGGGCTATCCATAAAGTAGCTTGGAGCTGGGAGTAGGGGCCTCACACCAGCAAGATAGATAAAGATTGTCCAAGGAGGGGTCAGAAGATTTCCCTAAGAAAGAAAGGAACAGTTTACCACCAGTTGCCTGCCCTTGTTGGCAGATTGAGGAAGCTACCGGTTTTCCAAGGTTATAAAGCGTTTAATTCATTTGTTTGAAGATTTAAGCCCAAATAAAGAACTTTGTTGAACTTATTTTGAGTCTCAATAGAACTTTGTGTTGGGAAATCTAAGGGGCCCTTCAGCTGAGGCACCCTGGCGTCCCATTGGGCATACAGAAGGCACGTCCTGTAAACAGACATTATTTAAGGCCCAGAGTGCGACAGCACAAGCATGATACAGGGATATTTGTCCATTTGTTAAAAAATGCAATGCAACTGTTTGGTCTGCTCCTGACACGATAAATAAATGATAAAGGGAGCCCCCAGTGACACAGCAGATTAAACCGCTGAGCTGCTGAACTTGCTAATTGAAAAGTTGGCAGTTCATATCCAGGGAGTGGGGTGAGCTCCCGCTGTTAGCCCCAGCTTCTGCCAACCTAACAGTTCTGAAAACATGCAAATGTGAGTAGTGCAATAGGTACCATTCCTGCGGGAAGGTAATGGCGCTCCATGCAGTCATGCTGGCCACATGACCTTGGAGGTGTCTACGGACTACTTAGAAATGGAGATGAGCATCCCCCCCCCCCCCAAGAGTCAAACTCGACTGGGCTTAATGTCAAGAGGAAACCTTTACCTTTAGCATGATACAAATAATGGTGAATCCCTTGCAAGGTGAAAAAACTTGGTTCGTTTAGCCATCAAGGCAATTCAGCTTTGACTGAAATCTGATATAATGTTAATTATATTAATACCATCAACATGTATTGTTTATTATGTAAATGTGTCTTTGAAATTGGGATTTGCATATTAAGAGCTACTTCAGGCTTCTTATTGGGCTACTGTCCAAGCTTGGCAAAGTTACTTTCCTCCATGCCTATTGGAAGAGTCTGGGAATTGTAATCAAAACTGTAGCATGCCTGTATATTAACTGCTATTTCCATACTTTTTCAAGTAGAAGTGTGTTATCTTTATGTGATTTAATATCATGTCTAGCTTAGTCCTTACGTGAAATCTGTTTTGGATTCAGGGCATTAAGTCTTTGAGTGGGAGCTGCTTTTATCAGTGGACAGTAACATGAGTAATTGTTTCTAGCGCTGATCCAAATATTTTCCATTTAATTTCCCTTTCCATGTGGTACAGCCTTTAACGCTCATCAATATGAATATTACATGCATTTTTAAAATATGGATATATTCTGTTATCAATCAAACTTGCTTACATGATGGTTGCCTTTGCTCCATCCTCTTCTACACAGTGTATGATGCTACTGATTCCAGAAGAGGAAAAAGGAGGAAGCTGTGATAAATGGCGGAGGGGAACAGGGACAGGGAAATGGATTAGGAAGAGCTCTCAGTGGGATGCTAGGAAATACCTGTATTAAATAGAAATCAGACTTGCTGAAACTCAGTCCATCTGGGGTTAATAGAATAGATTACATACTCTCCAGAAACCAAGGAAGTGAAGCATGTGTTTTGTGTTACTACATTTCAAGGGTTTTACTGTCCTTCTGTTTCTGGAGACAGAAAGATGTCTGTAGTAGCATGATTGTTTTGTTTTTTTCTGAGCTGAATTACTTTTCCCTTCTGTTAAAAATTATTTCCTACCTTGCTTTTGAATCAACCTTCTGTTTTGTCTAAGGGAATTCCCATGACTTTAATGGAAACAAGAATCAGGGATAAAAGTAGCAGAATTGCAGGCGGGGGGTTGAGGATGGAGTCATATTTTCCATAATGTCTTGACTTCTTGAGTAGAGAGGTGAGGCTGAGTACACGTGTGTTTTCCCAGAGTTATAAAAAGGGTGAAAAGAAGGGGCACATTGGCCAACTGAAAATCCATCATGGTGGTGAGACCTCTGGATTTGGGTTTGTTTAAAGTCCCCTCCCCCAGCAATGTCCACTACATTTGATAACTTCTGCCTAACCTACAACAGTCAATGCTTGGGCATGTTTGTTTGTTTGTTTACAGTATTTATATTCCGCCCTTCTCACCCGAAGGGGACTCAGGGCGGATTACAGTGTACATATATATGGCAAACATTCAATACCATAGACCAGGGGTCCTCAAACTAAGGCCCGAGGGCCAGATACGGCCCTCCAAGGTCATTTACCCGGCCCTCGCTCAGGGTCAACCTAAGTCTGAAATGACTTGAAAGCACACAACAACAACATCCTATCTCATCAGCCAAAAGCAGGCCCACACGTCCCATTGAAATACTAATAAGTTTATATTTGTTAAAATTGTTCTTCATGTTAATTATTGTATTGTTTGTAAGTGTTTTTTGCACTACAAATAAGATATGTGCAGTGTGCATAGGAATTCATTCATGTTTTTTTTTTCCAAATTATAATCTGGCCCTCCAACAGTTTGAAGGACCGTGACCTGGCCCTCTGTTTAAAAAGTTTGAGGACCCCTGTTCTAGAGTATGGCCATATAGCTCGAAAAACCTACAATAACTTCCAGCTTTTTCATGGGGGTATTCTGGCCACCAAGGGAGCTGTCGCTTCACCATCCATTTGTGACACTGATGGAAGTACTTCCTCATTCTTTGCATACTTGCTGGAGATTTTTATGGCGTTGTAAATTAGCCTCCCGCATAGAGCGGTAACTAAATTTCCTACTTGACAGATGCAACTGTCTTTCAGGCTGCAAAGGTCGACAGCAAGCTATACAAATTGGTCGGAAGCTCACTCTGGCTGGCTTCGAACTCATGACCTTTTGGTCAGTAGTGATCTTAATGCAGCTGACTCCCAGCCAGCTGCGCCACAGTCCCATGTGCCATTTCTCAGGGATTTTGGGCATCTTCAATGAAGGTCTCACCACCATCTGAGGCATTTCATGGTGGCAAAAGAGAGCACTTTCTCATGGGTCTGTAACTCCTTGTCAAGGAAGTTATGCTTGGCCCTTTGTTGACCTTCAGCTGGCATGCAAAGGTGGTTTTATTCAGTCAGACAAGCTTTTTGGCTTTTAAATTTGGCTGATCCTCAGATGGGATCTAAATGCCTGGGTTCAAGTATTATTATTTTTTAAAAATGTTTTAATTTGAATTTTCTTATTAATTATTAACTGATATCTGCAATAGGAAGGCTGATTATACATTTAAGGAACATTTAAGGAACAATCATAACTAAGACATCACCAGATTTGGCCTGCAGTGAAACGTTGACATAGGTTCCTTCCTCGATGAAACCTCTGAAGGCTTTCAACAGAGGCAATCATACTAATAAAATTAGATAAAATTCTCAGATATTGAGAGTAGGGGCTGAAGTTTTGTGTACCTCTGCCTTGTGACTTGATTTCTCATTACTTGATTATTTAGCTGTTGTCTGGCAGAAGATTACGTGAAGACGTGAGCCCCTTAAAAAGCATTGTATGTGAGGTAATATTGGAATTCCGCTTCTGTTTGGTTATGGCCTTTTTGCTCTTTTTGGCTGCATCTGTCTGTCTCAATAATGCAGCCCTGCAAACATTTGCTGTGGAGCAGCCTAACACATATGTCAGTGAGTATTTTTCAGAACCGCTTTCGAATATCTGGCTCAGTTAACTAAATTTTGTTATTGCATGGTGAAACATCATAACAGTTGCATTTATTCTACTTCCTGTCTGATAGTAACATAAATGTTGTGTTGTTGTACGTTTTTCGGGCTATATGGACCATATTCTAGAAGCATTCTCTCCTGACATTTCACCTGCATCTATGGCAAGCATCCTCAGAGGTTGTGACGGTCTCACAACCTCTGAGGATGCTTGCCATAGATGCAGGCGAAACGTCAGGAGAGAATGCCTCTAGAACATGGCCATATAGCCCGAAAAAACCTCCAACAACCCAGTGATTCCAGCCATGAAAGCCTTCGACAATACATTGAACATAAATGTTCATTTGCAGGATTCTGTGACTGAAGATGATCAACCAACCAACCAAATAAATGAATTTGATTCAGAAAGACCGCCTCCAGGTTTGTTGTTTAATTGTTTGTGGAGACTAATAAGTGAGGAAATGTTTGACAATCCCTGACTTTCTGAGGAGAGTGGTGACATATACAGTGACAACCCTCCACTTTTGCAGGGGTTGGATGCAGCCTCTACCAAAAGTGGGAAAACTAAATATCTCCGCAGGGGAGGTGGAAGGCTACCTGCTGTGGTCCCAGGATACTCCCTTGCCCTTCTGCCTTTTTCTCTTCACCATCCTTCCCTCTTTTTTTTTTGCCTATCTGCTCACTTATTCTCCCTTCCTTTCTCTGCTTGCTCACCCCACACCGCTACCTCTTTATCTAGTGACCATGATTGAGAAGGGGGAAGAAGCCCCATAAGGTAGCCTTTCTTATTGCCCAGGAGGGTTGGGTGGACATACAGTGAGCAATTGGAAAGGCAGAAAAAGAAACAGTCATGAGGTACTCCATTCCATTCTCAGCATGCAGGAAGAGGAGCTGGGATCTGCTGGGCAGGTGAAGTGGCAGTGGCACAGGGCACTTGCTCCTCCTCCTCTTTCCTTCCTTCCCCCTTTCCCTCCTTCCTAAAAGTTGGAGCCTTCTGTATTCCTCATTGGTTCTACTTTTTATAAACCCACATCTACAATGTTTTATTTCAATCTGTCTCTTGGACAATATGTAGCAGCATTTTTGTATTTCTATTTCTTACTTAAATATTACAATTGGTTTTTTAAATTGTTGTCAGCTTCGAACCACAAAGAATTCAACACAGCGGTTTCCTGTGCCAGCCCAGTCGTGACCAGTGTGAAGTACTCCTCCCTCAGTAATCATTCCAAGGAAATGACTTCAGTGGGTGGCCTGAAGAAACTTGAAACAGCACCCCAGAAGGAAGCACCACTTCTCCAGAAGGTAGCGTGATACACTGAAATATAAGACTGAGCATAAGGTAGAATGCCAGGACATATTTCTATCATATGAAGATGGCATGCGTTCATCTTTGCTATGGGAGAGAGAATGCCCATTTGATCTGGATTCGAGGTGCTGGTGATCGCACTCAGAACCCTATCAGTGGTTCTCAACCTAGGGTCCCCAGATGTTTTTGGCCTACAACTCCCAGAAATCCTAGCCAGTTTGCCAGCTGTTAGGATTTCTGGGAGTTGTAGGCCAAAAACATATGGGGATCCCAGGTTGAGAACCACTGCTACAGTTTGGGATCTCAATACTTGAAGGAATACCTCTCCCTATATCCGTGGTTCCCAACCTTTTTTGGACCAGGGACCACTTTGACCAGAGACCACTCTCCAGCATTAGTACCAAAAGGGTTATGAATCAGTTTTTGGTCAACTTTAGATTTGGTTTGTTTGGGGTGCTGATTCAGAAAATTGCATTGGATAGACCACATCAGTTCTAATTTCTGATACAGAACATATGCCATCCAGTAGTCGCCATCTGCTTGCCCACAGAAAACTGTAGATAATAAGCCTTGACACTATAAAAGAGTTTTGTGAGACCAGTCACTTGCAACAGTGTAGTAACGGTGAGACTGCTGACCATATTTTAGTTCTTGCAGACCACTAGTGGTCCACGGACCACAGGCTGGGAGCCACTGATCTATATCCTCCTCTGTGTCCCAACATTGGAGGACAATCCATTGAACCTTTTTGGCAGTGGCAGCACAATTGTGGAATTGTCTCCATTTGGAGGTCTGATTAGTACCTGCACTGCTTTCATTCTGATGCAAAGTAAATGGATGTTTTTGATTAAAGCCATTGAGTCCTAATTGATTTAGGCCCAATTGGACATGCTATAATTTTAACTTTTCAAACCTGTTTTAATCTATTCAGTTGTTTCATATGCAGTGGATAAACATTTATTGGTTTGTCTGCCATCCTGAGAGGATAGGATGTAGGCTGGGATATAAATATTTGGATTGACGTATAAAAGTATGTGTCATTTTCACTTTAAACAACCTCCATCTTTCACTCTGTTAGTGGGTTCCAGCTTGTGAGGAAATCTAGCAGAGTGATAAGTAAAGGTCACTCGTGCATCTGCAGAGCAGATAAGTTAATATAATGTGTTACCTTTCTTCCTGTTGGAATAAGGAATCATAGAGTTGGAAAAGACCTCATGGGCCATCCAGTCCAACCCCCTACCAAGAAGCAGGAAAATTGCATTCAAAGCACCCCCGACAGATGGCCATCCAGCCTCTGTTTAAAAGCTTCCAAAGAAGGAGCCTCCACCACACTCCGGGGCAGAGAGTTCCACTGCTGAACAGCTCTCACAGTCAGCAAGTTCTTCCTAATGTTCAGATGGAATCTCCTCTCTTGTAGTTTGAAGCCATTGTTCCGCGTCCTAGTCTCCAAGGAAGCAGAAAACAAGCTTGCTCCTCCTCTCAAACTGGGGTCCCCAGATGTTTTTGGCCTACAACTCCCAGAAATCCCAGCCAGTTTACCAGCTGTTAGGATTTCTGTGAGTTGAAGACCAAAAACATCTGGGGACCTCAGGTTGAGAACCACTGTCCTATGACTTCTTCTCACATATTTATACATGGCTATCATGTCTCCTCTCAGCCTTCTCTTCTTCAGGCTAAACATGCTAAGCTCTTTAAACCGCTCCTCATAGGGCTTGTTCTCCAGACCCTTGATCATTTTAGTCGCCCTTCTCTGGACGATGGCGAAAGAGCACAGAAGAGACTATTCACTGTGCGTATTCACTGTGAATACTGTCAGTCAAGGCAAAACCTGTGTGTGTTTTAGGCTGGATCTACATTGCAAAATAATCCAGTTCAAAGCAGATAATCTGGATTTTATATTGTAGTGTAGATGGTGCCTTAGATCCATGGTGTTCATACTGTTGATGAACAAATGGAAACAATATCATCCAGGCAACTGTTTTGGTTCATCCAAGTATCAGCCACTTTGACATACCCATGTAGGTAAGAAAAGCACAGCATAAATCATTGAATGAAGAATTACAATTTAGCCAGGAAATCCTATAGAGCAAATATAGCCCTGCCTGTTAAGATCCCAGCCAAGAGCCATTCAATAGATACAATGTACTCCAAACAATGTTTATTCTGGCTTAGTTTTGTATGCTTTTTGTTGTCTTGATGCTGATTCTGCCATTCAAAATTGGCTTAGGTAGAGACTTCGGGAGCTCCTGAACAAGATGGAGGCATGGTCTTTCCGCTTCTGAAGAAGATGCCTGAGATGAATCAAGTTGTTTTGCAGAATTCTGCCCTACAAGGTAAACAATCAGGAAGAGGGGGATGAATGTGCAAATTGCACTACAACTTTCAACATTAGATACAAGAATTAGAGAGGAAAAAACTAGGTCTCATCCACCAGATAATGACCTAAATATGGGGGGGAAAAACATGGTTTGTTTTCTTCCTTAAGTTACCTTCATATATTTCATTCTTCTTTAAAATTTACTGATGCCACAACCATAGAATTTGTATCACAATTTCAGAAAGAAAAAAAAGACAGGAAATATTAATAACTAGCCATCCCCTGCTACATGTTGCTGTGGCCCACATGGGGGTTCTGTGTGGGACGTTTGACCCAAATCTATCGTTGGTGGGGTTCAGAATGCTCTGTGATTGTAGGTGAACTATAAATCCCAGCAACTACAACTCCCAAATGTCAAGATTCTATTTTCCCCAAACTCCAGCAGTGTTCACATTTGGGCATATTGAGTATTCGGTCCAGATCCATCCTTGTTTGAGTCCACAGTGATCTATGGATGTAGATGAACTACAACTCCAAAACCAAAGGACACTGCCCACCAAAACCTTCCAGTATTTTCTGTTGGTCATGGGAGAACTGTGTGCCAAGTTTGGTTCAATTCCATCGTTGGTGGGGTTCAGAATGCTCTTTGATTGTAGGTGAACTATAAATCCGAGCAACTACAACTCCCTAATGACAAAATCAATTATTTGAGTGTGAGTGGAGGACATTAATTGGACTGTTAGGTGTCTTGTGTCCAAATTTGGTGTCAATTCCCCCAGTGGTTTTTGAGTTCTGTAAATATCACAAACGAATATTACATTTTTATTTATATAGATGATGATGATAATAATAATAATAATAATAATAATAATAATAATAATAATAGCAACTTTAAATGTAAAAACTTCTCCAGACTAGTCATACATCAAGGTGGAAAACTTAATCAGAACAGAAGAGTCACTCTAGTGTTCCAGATCCCATACTGCTTTAAGTAAAAATTACAGTATTGTTCCATTATCTGGGCAGAGGCCACTAGGGGGTGCTAGAGAGAGAAGGATACTTGATTTTATTGGGGAGAAGGTGTTGAAAGAGGAAAACGATTTCCTCTGTTTTTTGCCATGTCATAAAGAAGGGTTGTTTCCAAGATGAGGACATGGGTGGGGGAATAACAGGAATAACAGGAAAACAGGGGTAAATGGTTTTACTCCTTCAACCCATGGTCCACCCCCATAAAATGAAGCATCTTTCTCTCTCTCTAGCACCCCCTCGTGGCCTTTGCCCAGATAATGGAACAGTTTTATTTATTGTGTCAGGAGCAAACCAAAACAGTTGTATTGCATTAAAAAAACAAACAAAACACAAAGTTTGCAGACTTGGTATTCTATTAAATGTCCTTTGACCAGTAGTTGGCCACTTGGAGTGCCTCTGGTGTTTCTGCAAGAAGGTCCTCCTCCATTGTGCATGTGGCAGGGCTTAGGTTGCATTGCAGTAGGTGGAAAAGTACCAAAAATACATAAAATTATAAATTAAATTCATAAAAAAACAATTCTAAATCAATTTGAAACATTCACCCCTTAACTGCATCAATTTTTAATTTAACTAACATTTCTACCCATTGGTTTATTTAGCCTTTTTTGGCTACAAGTCCTCCAAACAGATTTCTTTTCCTTTCTTCTTTTTCTGCCCAACTTTTTGTGGTATGCACTGGGAGCATGTTCTTAATCTCTACCACTTGCAGCTGCAGCAGTTTGATCCCAGATTTTGGTAGCAAACTACACCCGAAAGAACACATGCTGTTGAATTTTGATGGGTTTTTGAGCTTCTTAGGGTGCAGTGCCTAAAGCCATTCAAGGTGTTCCCAGTGGTGATCGGTACACTGGGTGCAGTGCCTAAAAGACCTTGGCCTGCACTTAAACACAATCGGCGCTGACAAAATTACCATCTGCCAGTTGCAAAAGGCCACCTTACTGGGAAATAATAATAAAGTAATGTAAATATAATAATAATAAAATAAAATAATAATAATAATAATAATAATAATAATAATAATAATAATAATAATAATAACAACAACAACAACAACAACGGGTGCCGCCTTGTCGTTGGCGGGGGGCTTAACTACTTCAATGATGTTGGGAGCTGTACTGGCGGTAGTGTAAACTACCAGCAGGTCCAACCAAGCCAGAGTGGTCTCAACTGAGAAGTAGAAGTAAGTGCACCCAACCCAATAATAAGGTGGTCCCAGTGGTGATCGGCACACTGGGTGCAGTGCCTAAAGACCTTGGCCTGCACTTAAACACAATCAGCGCTGACAAGATTACCATCTGCCAGCTGCAGAAGGCCACCTTACTGGGATCTGCATGCATTATTCGCTGATACATCACACAGTCCTAGACACTTGGGAAGTGTCCAACATGTGATCCAATACAACAGCCAGCAGAGTGTCTGCTGTGGACTCATCTTGTTGTGTTTCAAATAATAATAATAATAATAATAATAATAATAATAATAATATAATTAAATAATGATGATGATGATTCAGTCCAACAGCCAGCAGAGTGTCTGCTATGGACTCATCTTGTTGTGTTTCAAATAATAAATATTAAAAAGTATTTCTATTAAAATACATATTAAAACTCTTTAGCAATGAGAAAGCATTGTGGAAGTTGTGGATAATAATAATAATAATAATGTTATTTATATTCCGCTCTATCTCCCCAAAGGGACTCCAGGCGGATTAAATGATGTCAAACCTAACAAGAATATTATGGGACACAGAAGTTAGTGAGCAGCAATAGGGAAAAAAGAGTAATGAAAGAGAAACTGTCTGTGTCTATTGCCACCTAGTGGCCCATCATCATTGTTGCAAATGTTGTTCCACCTCTCTTCACCTCCATCAAGATCCAGTGGGGGGGGGGGTGTACATGGGCCTTCAAGTCACCTGTTGACTTACTGTAACCCCATCAATTCCATAATGTGTTCCTACACAAAGAGACTCTAACGACCTCATTACATGGGGTACTTTTCAGTGACATGCACCAGTTCATCTATACTTTTGCGACGGAGCCCACCAGCTCCCATTCCACATTGTAGAGTAACTTCCAGCGGGACTCTGTCACAACAGTATAGCCAAACCAGCACATGCCGCCACAGAAGCAACATGGCAGGCTTCCCATGTTGTATTGGTTCAATGGGAGGAAGCCAAGTGGCCGACGCTTCACCTGTGTGGTGAGGCGAAGGGTAAGTCAGGCAGCGCAGGGTGTGGTTCCCCACATCCCCACAATGGTCACCACCAGAATTGCCATGATACATGGTAATTCTGGTGGCCCATCTGATGAGGTCAAAAGAATAGCGCATTGAGTCTCCTTGTGAAGGGAAAAAGTGGGTTATAAATAATAATAATAATAATAGGTGAATAATTCATGCAGATTCTAGTAAGGTGACCTTTTGCAGCCGGCATATGGTAATTTTGTCAGCACCAATTGTGTTTAAGTGCAGGCCAAGATCTTTAGGCATTATTCACTGATACATCACACAGTTCTAGACACTTGGGAAGTGTCCGACGTGTGATCCAATACAACAGCCAGCAGAGTGATCTTGTTTTCTGTGGATTCATCTTGTGTGTTTCAAATAATTATAATAATAATAAAAGATCAAACTGCAAAGACTCTGGCACAAACCAGTAAAGGTGGTCCCAGTGGTGATCAGCACACTGGGTGCAGTGCCTAAAGACTTGGCCTGCACTTAAACACAATCGGCGCTGACAAGATTACCATCTGTCAGCTGCAAAAGGCCACCTTACTGCGATCTGCACGCATTATTCGCCGATACATCACACAGTCCTAGACACTTGGGAAGTGTCCGATGTGTGATCCAATTCAACAGCCAGCAGAGTGTCTGCTGTGGACTCATCTTGTTGTGTTTCAAATAATAATAATAATCATCATCATCATCATCATCATGAGTTGGTTTTACCAGTCCCTTCTTCTGAAATATAGCCTACAATGCCTTGTAGCTCCTACATATTGAGAAAGGAACCTCTTGTTGCTGCCATGGTAATTTATGAACAGTGAAATGGTACTCTGCTATAGCTAACATCTGGAGGCTCTGAACCAAGCACTTTGGATCACAGCCTTGATTTGATATTATTGCTCCTAATTCAGCAATGTAACATGGAACCAAAAAAGTGAGGACTATACTCCAAAAGAAAGATGCTTGTCCTCTGTGCCAATCTTGCAGTGATAATGTCAAGGAGGGTAATCTAAAATATATGAACGCTGACTGTGGATGACTGCTGTGCTTGCATAAAGACATTGAGACCCCTCGGACATGTATTTTTGAAATCATCTATTTGGGTTGCTGTGAGTTTTTCGGGCTGTAAGGCCATGTTCCAGTAGAATTATCTCCTGATGTGTCATCTGTATCTGTGCAATATTTACACTTGCTTTAAACAGACAAGGTTTTTTTCCCCACCTTGGACATTCCACAGATGCAGATGAAATGCCAGGAGAGAATGCTACTAGAACATAGCCATGCAGCCTGAAAAACTCACAGCAAACCAGTGATTCTGACCATGAAAGCCTTCAACAACACAACCATCTATTTTTGTGGTTTCACAATTTCTCTCCCATTTCCCCAATGTTCAATTATCTATATAAATAAAAATGTAATGTTCGTTTGTGGGATTAACATAACTCAGAAACCACTGGACGAAATGACACAAAATTTGGACACTACACCCCTAACAGACCAATGAGTGTCCCTCACCCCTAAAATTACAAAAAAACAAACAAACAAGCAACAACAACAAAACCCAGTAGAACTGACTTAAAACCCCCAGCAATACACCATATATATATCCATACATATACATATATATACACACACACTCATGTACATATACACATGCACACATACATACACATGTGTATATATATACCCAAGCACACACAAATATACACCTGCACACATATATAAACACAAATATGCATATAGACAAGCACACACATACACACACATATACACAGATACACAAATATCTAAACACATACACACACACACAACACATATATACAGACTGGGCCACAGCAACACATGGCAGGGGATGGCTAGTCTATATAAATAAAAATGTAATGTTCATTTGTGGGATTAACATAACATAACTCAAAAACCACTGGATGAATTGACACCAAATTTGGACACAATACACCTATCAGGCCAACAAGTGACCATCACTCATAAAACACCGAAAAACACAGCAGAAGAGACTTTAAAAGCCAAAAAACAAAAAAAAGCATTACAATGCATGTGCAAAACCACATATATACACGAACACACATATATACACATATACACAGACTGGGCCACAGCAATGCGTGGCAGGGGACGGCTAGTTAGAATAATAAAATTGCCACAAAGACACAAGCAATCAATGAGATTGGCATTTAGAATTTACAGTATTGCACTAGAACTGTAATGTTTTTGTCATTCTCCAGAAGTTTCCCAAGATGCCCTCAGTTGATCTCCATGCCAAGCTACAACCAACCAATCACCTTTTAACATCATTGGCTAATAGTCTTCTAAGTCTTTGGGCTGCTCTGTGGGTCACTGGCTTGCTTTCACAGCGTTGTGTTCCTTGTTTTGTTTCTGTTCTGCCGCCCGCTCTAGAGCTGCCCAACTGTGCCAGTGTTCCGCTTAAGGTTCGGAACGCCTGGCGGCGCTACCAATTTTTCTCCCAGTCAGGTAAATGATGGCCTTGGAAGGAGCTACATCCCTCCTGCTACTCTGTGTAGCTTTCTTTTTGTGTGTGTCCTGGAGCCAAAGCTGGTACGTCTGTCCTTGTTGCTTTTGTAGAAAATGCTTTTTCCTGTCACATGGTTGGCAAAGAGCTTGCCCTTGGTTTGTAATGGAACATCATGGGATTACCTATCCTATCCTGTACACGCTTAGTGTCACTCTGTAAGTTCATGGAACCGTTGATATCAAAGGCAAGGGCTCTCTTGGTAACTGTGATGGTGGAACGGCATATTCCCTTTCCCCAGAAGGCATAGTGCAGGGAAAAGTGGAAAATAGATAGCATGCTATGTTCAACTGTTGCTAGTGTCTGAGACCTAAATCAGTAGCTGTTGATAGCTTGTAGTAGCTTAGAACGTTGTGTTCATTGACATTCATAGAATCATAGAGTTGGAAGAGACCTCATGGGCCATCCAGTCCAACCTCCTTTTGTAGAGAAGGCAATTTCTGTGGTGGAGGAATCATAGAATCATAGAGTTGGAAGAGACCTCATGGGCCATCCAGTCCAACGCCCTGCCAAGAAGCAGGAAAGTTCCATTCAAATCACCCCTGACAGATGGCCATCCAGCCTCTGTTTAAAAGCCTCCAAAGAAGGAGCCTTCACCACACTCCGGGGCAGAGGGTTCCACTGCTGAACAGCTCTCACAGGTAGAAAGTTCTTCCTCATGTTCAGGTGGAATCTCCTATCCTGTAGTTTGAAGCCATTGTTTCATTGCGTCCTAGTCTCCAGGGCAGCAGAAAACAAGCTTGCTCCCTCCTTCCCTATGACTTCCCTCACATATTTATACATGGCTATCATATCTCCTCTCAGCCTTCTCTTCTTCAGGCTAAACATGCCCAGCTTTAAGCCGCTCCTCATAGGGCTTGTTCTCCAGACCCGTGATCATTTTAGTCGCCCTCCTCTGGACACATTCCAGCTTGTCAATATCTCTCTTCTTGTTTTAAATTAATGCTGCAGATTGAGAGAAATTGTAGATTTCTGATGGGGTTTTCCACAACCCATTTTGTGTTATTCTTCCCATAAAAGATATAATTTCATGGTTGCCAGAGGTAGTATCAAGGGAAGCAATCTCAAGCCACTTGTTAAGCTGGGAATTTACTGCTGACCCTCAGAATTACCTGGCCTTACTATTACTCCCCTTTCTTTTTGCTATTGCTGCTTGTTCTCCTGTCCTTTCACACCTGTGTTGACAGAGAGAAAGATCAAGGACCATCACCTTTCAGAGAGGGAGCCCCAGTGGCGCAGTGGGTTAAACCCCTGTGCCGGCAGGACTGAAGACTAACAGCTCGCAGGTTTGAATCCGAGGAGAGGCGGATGAGTTCCCTCTATCAGCTCCAGCTCCTCATGCAGGGACATGAGAGAAGCCTCCCACAAGGATGATAAAACATCAAAACATCCGGGCATCCCCTGGGCAATGTCCTTGCAGACGGCCAATTCTCTCACACCAGAAGCGACTTTCAGTTTCTCAAGTCGCTCCTGACACGACAAAAAAAAAACTCTCTGAGAGATGGACCCATTCATGGAGATGGGCCAGTTGTGGGTATCTTGCCCAAGAGCCCCCAAAAACCTTTTAATTCATATTTTGAACAGATAGTTTTAAATTATTAGATTCAGCTTTTGAATTTGGAAAATAAATCCAGTAAGTAAATTTCGGAAGTAAACAGCCAGACAAGTTAGACTGTTATTCTCTTTTTCTCTTTGCAGCTGACAGTGATAACCGTGACAAGTTGAACGTAAGTTGATTCTTTGCATTGTTTTTAATAGTATCAAGATTCAGGAATATTTGGAACTATTTATTTATTTACAGTATTTATATTCCGCCCTTCTCACCCCGCAGGGAACTCAGGGCGAATTACAATGTACACATATATGGCAAACATTCAATGCCAAAGACACACAACAGATATAGACAGACAGTCAGAGGCTATTTAACTTTTCTGGCCACCAGGGGAGCTGTCGCTTTCATCTCCATCTGCGACACTGATGAAGTACTTCCGCATTCCCCGCATGCTTTGCTGGAGTCTTTCTTATGGCCTTGTAAATTAGTTAAATTAGCCTCCCCACACATAGGTGGTACCTAATTTTCCTACTTGACAGATGCAACTGTCTTTCGGGTTGCAAAGGTCAACAACAAGCTACACAATTCTTCGTTAGCTCACTCCGACCCGGACTGGCTTCGAACTCATGACCTTGTGGTCAGAAGTGATCTTAATGCAGCTGTGCCACAGTCCCGGTGTGACTACCCACTAAGATACACTAAGAGATTCGACCCAGACTCACACAGAACTGTAATTTCATGAAGTTTTGAAATTAATTTGTGTGCAGCATTTTAAGTGACTCAGCTGAATATATTATAGAAGATATTGTAATTTTATTGGTTTTTTAAAAAATGTTGCTAGGTTTTAATAGTATCTTTTCACCTATTCAAGCGTCTTGGTTGCTGGTCTTGGAATCCAGAAGAGGAGCGTAAGCGACAGGAGCGATGGCAGCATGAACAGGAGCGCGTACTCCAGGTACTGCCACTCATTAATACTTTTTCCCACTTATACCCTCACTTCTCCCAAAGAGCTCCAGGACTTTTTAACCTTGTGTCTTCTCAACCTGCAGAAAATTAACCAGTGAATGAAATGTTGCTCATTAAAATATACAGTAAATCATTCCATACATTCAAAGTACTTCATAGAGTAAGCCCACTAAAAGAAAGTTTTTCACACATCTTAAGTGTATCATTCCTAAGCACAAATCCCTCTCTGCTTTAAATTGTTGCAAATACGGTAGACACCCACATGTAAGAATCCCGCCAGGCAGATATAATTTTCCAGGGCACAGACTAAAAACAACAGTTTTGGGAAATGTTAAGTCATTTACAACCCTAAAGATACATGAATGGAAGAAAGTACCTTGTTGCCCAGGGTGGAAGGGAAATATACAAGGTGAAAATGTACTGTTTTTTTTTGAAAGACTTCACTGTTACAATTTTAAAAAATGATTCGCTTTTACATTTTTATGCTGCCCTCCTTTTGTGATGGTGGTGGTTCTTCTCTCACCAAAAAGCTTTGTGGGTTTTTGAAATAGTAGCAGAGCTGCTTTAGCCAGATGTCACGGTCAGATCAGAGGACAAAATTGCAATAATGTTCTTCCTTTCAAACTGCTGTCAACCTTTCAAAAGTAGAAGAGGTAGAAGAAACGATAGAGCCAGTGGGGTGAAGTGGTTTGAGTACTGGACTACAACTCTGGAGACCAGGGTTCAAATTCCCTTACAGCAGATGTTTTGGCCTAAACTTCCAGAAGTCCTAACAGCTGGTAAACTGGCTGGAATTTCTGGGAGTTGTAGGCCAAAACACCTGGGGACTCACAGGTTGAGAACCACTGCCATACAGCCTTGGAAACCCACTGGGTGACCTTGGGCAAGTCACGATCTCTCAGCCTCAGAGGAAGGCAAATGCAACCACCCCTCCTGTGAATAATCATGCCAAGAAAACATTGTGATAGGATCACTTTAGCGTTTCCGCAAGTCTGAAACAATTTGAAAGCAACATAACAACAAATTAATCACAACCCTGACATGGAAGCCATCAGCTGCCCATGGTTTAGTCCAACAGCTGGTGCACTATTGGGGGCAGCTTCAAGTTGTTGTTTATTTATTTATTTACCATATTTATATACCACCCCTCTCAGCCCGCAGGCAACTTGTTTTGTATATAGGCCAATTGTTGCGTATTTGGCCCAATTATGTTTTCTACTTTCTGGGGTTAGAACCAACATTGACCCCTAAATATTTATGGTGTCTTCCAGACTTCAGTGTGATTGAATTTATTACCATAATAGATGGTCGAAGTCAGTTAGACCAACAATTTTCCCCACTTTTAAAATCTGCAATAGCTGTAGAAACACAATATTACGATGTTACATTTTCTGATGATAAGGTACATTTCAGAAGCCTAGAACGTTAGTAGAAGGGTGGGTAACACTTAGCTTTGGGACATTGGAAGCAGAGAAGCAGAATAATGAATAACTCCCCACAAACTTGCATAAACCAAAAAAAAACCTTCCACTGCGAAATCTCCTAGGCATTCAAACTGGCTCATTGGAGAAGGAAGGAGGCAAAGCAAGCGAAATGCTTGCTAAGAAGACATCTTAATAGTCAGTCCCCTATGGTTCCCAAATCCATATGCATAATCATGACCCCTCTTATTTCTAAAATTATTGGCTAACATTAACAGTTGGGACAAAAAGTGTTGTACTTTTAGAAAATATTTCAAAGTGAATGTAATTGCACCTTGATACGTTTTGAAGTGTTCCTCTGTTGTTTCAGAATATACACTGGATCTGGGGAAGGGCAGATATTTCTGAGAAAATAATTCTAGTCCATAACCAAAGCTTGGGGAAACTCATCTTTTTGAACTATATTGTTGGTGTATGCCTTCAAGTTGTTTCTATGTGATTTGCCCAAGGTCACCCAATGAGTTTCCACAGCTGAGTGAAAATTTGAACCCTGGCCTCCAGAGTTGAATGCTCAAACTGGTCTCCTCTTGTGAACCATAGGTTTTGGAAATCCTTGGCCAGTAGAAGCTTTTCAGTCTGGATCAACCAACTCCTTGACTAAGCATCACTGCCTCCACTCAGTCTTGATCTACACTACTGTATAATAATAATAATCATCATCATCATCTTTATTTATACCCCGCCACCATCTCCCCCAACAAGCACACAACAACAATAATCCTATCTCATCAGCCAAAAGCAAGCCCATACTTCCCATTGAAATACTAACACGTTTATATTTGTTAAAATAGTTCTTAATTTTAATTATTGTATTGTTTTTTTCATTACAAATAAGATATGTGCAGTGTGCATAGGAATTCATTAATTTTTTTTCAAATTATAATCCGGCCCTCCAACAGTTTGAGGGACTGCGACCTGGCCCTGTGTTTAAAAGGTTTGAGGACCCCTGCTCTAGAACATGGCCATATAGCCCGAAAAAACCTACAACAACCCAGTGATTCCAGCCATGAAAGCTTTCAACAATACGTAGTATCATCTTAATTTGCCACAATCTTAATCTATTTTCTCAAACCCCATTTGAAGCGAGTATGTCTTTGCATGGAGGTCTCCTTTGAATCTAGCAAAGAAACATATTCCATCCCTTGTATCCCAATTCCTGTTTGATAGCTTGTATTGGAATTCTGTACAGGAAAGGTATCAGAAGGAGCAGGACAAGCTGAAAGAAGAATGGGAAAAAGCACAAAAAGAAGTTGAAGAGGAGGAGCGTAAATACTATGAGGAGGTAGGAAGGCAGAGATGCAACTGTACAACAGAAGCCATGGCTGCTTCTGATGTCTTGGCTTAATTAGTCAAGATATGAACAAGCTTTTTTGTCAGCCATACCATTCCTGCATGCTTTGCTTCATGTGAGTATGCCAGCAAACTAGGCATCCTCCACTTTGCTTGAACTGGGAGCACTTCCAGACAGCACACAAAATGTGGGTTTAAGAGGGAAGACAAAAAAAGGGATCTGAGAACATATCCCCAAACAGACCTGTGGATCTCAGTATTTCTTGCCCCGCCGTCCTCACAGGCCTCCTGTGTATTGGAACAAGATGGAGGGCAGATGTGGGACACCTGGTGGAAGTTTTTTTTTTTAAAAAAAGTCACTGTTGAGGGCCTGGGCTTCAGCACAGCTGGTAAATCACCAGCAGTGATAAGATCTACCAACTGAAAGGTTGGCAGTTCAAAGCCCTGGGCCTACGTGAGCTGCTGACTGTCAGCCCAGCTTACTGTTGACCTAAGCAATTCGAAAACCGCTTGAGCTGTAATTAGAGAAATTAGATAATGCTAAAAGAAGCAGGGGAGGTATTTTATGACACCATTAAAAAAGCTCAAAGAATGCTCAGTAACCAAAAGGAAGGAGGAAGTCCTGATGGCTCTTTGTCATAGAGGACAGCGCAACAGCACCCCCTTGTGGCAAGATTTGAACACAACCTTCCAAAGCACCAAAAAGCTGGACTTCGACACAACATACCTCCTTTCTGGGTTGTTGTGGGTTTTTTCGGGCTATATGGCCATGTTCTAGAGACATTGTCTCCTGACGTTTCGCCGGCATCTATGGCAAGCATCCTCAGAAGTAGTGAGGTCTGTTGGAACTAGGAAAATGGGTTTATATATCATCCTCACTACCTCTGCGGATGCTTGCCATAGATGCAGGCGAAACATCAGGAGACATTGCCTCTAGAACATGGCCATTAAGCCCGAAAAAACCTACAACAACCCAGTGATTCCGGCCATGAAAGCCTTTGACAATATACTCCTTTCTGTTCTGTCTCTGTATCGTCTCTCCAAAACATCATTGAATGTTTGCTGTGTATATGTACCGTGATCCACCCTGAACCGTATATCTGCACATGCAAATATCTTAATATAAATATAAGCAGATTTGCATGTGCATATACGAGGTTCAGCACATAGTAGAGTGATTTTAAAAAAAAACTTCTGCCACATTTCTCCATTCCCATAATTTATTCAAGCTCTATTTAATATTTTACAGTTAAATAAAGTTTCAGAGAGTTAAAATTGCCCTTCCTTTAAATCAGCTGTGTGTCCGTTTGACAGCCCAATCAGCCGATCAACTGTTTCAGGCTTTTTAAAAGTGGACATGTGCTGGAGCAATCTCCACAGGGGGGAGGAAAGGAAATCGTGTTTTTTTGGTGAGTGCAGAGATATACAGTGATGCAAATATAGGCATTTTTTGGCTAGAATCGGGATAAAAGGAGAACTTTTATCCCATTTTTGGCCATTGCAGCGCACCTTTAACATCAACGTCATGTAGCCACCCCTTTTTAAATCTAGTAACTTTCGTGTTTTAGGTGCTGTGTAGATGGGCCCTGGGAAACTATAATAACAACTTCAGAAAAAGCCAGGATACATAGATATCTTGGATTGCAAAAGCCACAAATAATAATTTCCAGCTTTTCTGTAAAACCAAAAGCTTCAGTTAATTAAAGAATTCTATTTTTTGTTTTGGGATTTCTGAGCATGAAAGGGATTCAGGAATCCCCACAATGTTCATTCATATCTCAACTTTTTAGCACAGCCTAGTGGTTATGTTGGTTGTCTTGTATTTGTTTTGATGCCAGAAGATTGCTTTTGTTCCCCAAGTTTGAACTTCCTGTATGATTTGGAAGGCTTTATCAGAGCAGAACACTTGTTAATTTTTCTCACAGCCAATAGTTGTATGTATGAAATGTGTATGTCTTTGTGTTTATGTTTGCATGTGTGTCTGGAGAGGTATGCCATCGCACCTGGGGCTATAGCTCTTAGTGAAAGAGACATGGACGTTACATCTTTTCCCCGGGGGATGGCTTCTTATCCTCCTTTAGAGAACTGGAACTCTCAAGGACCAAGACATTACAGATAACTCGAAATAGGTTTTATTGTTCACAATGAGTTATCTTCCTTAGACATAAACTTGATATTCAAAGGGGTAAAGGAAACATACTTTACAATCTTAAGAGTCTTGGGTCCAAGGAGTTTTCTAGCTGAGAAGCTTTCCAAGTTCCCTCTTTTCTCAATGGCTGTGAAAGTCGGAACAATCACAACCCCAGTCCAATGGCCTATTTTTGAAGGCACAAAGTCTTCCTCTTGATGCCAAAAGACTGATTTGAAGGCGCTTGAGACTCCTCAGCGTTGTCCAGGGTGAACTGGGCATGGTGAGTCCCAAGGGTATAAACCTGATAATTGGTAATGAGAGATAACTTGATCAAGGACTTTAGAGCCAAGTCTTTCTCATCTGTAGAGCTGTTTGATGGTGGAATGAAAAAGGAAAGCAATGCCCTCCTCCCCAGGAAGGGGAGGAGCTAAACAATTAAGGAGGGGAGGCAATTCAACAGGTGCAAACAACATTGATAGAAAGCAGTGGATAGCCAAACAATTCAACTATACATTCACATATAAGTAGGGGCAGATGCGCCGTCACAAGAGGGCCAGGGTGGATTACATTGGAGGGAGCTTAGCTGAACTTAGTTATGATTCTGGAGCTCATGGCTCCAATCCCTGTTCTGGTATGGAAACCCAATGGGTGGTCTTGGGCAAATCACACACCCTCAGCACCAGCAGAAGGCAAACACAATCCCCTGAACAACCTTGCCAAAAAAAACCCATGATAGGATCACCAAAAAGCAGAAACGGCTTGAAGGCACACAGCAGCAACACAACAGTGTATGTTCAAAGAGAGGGAGCTATCAAGCAGCTTATATTATATTGTTTTATGCTACATACATCTGCTGTAATTATCATTATTATTATTATTATTATTATTATATTTTACTGACACAAAAACACAGGTCATAGCAAATGAGATATATACGCTGGATTTCGTATCACAAAATCAGAAGTCAAACACTTCCCAAGCGTCTAGGACTGTGTGATGTATTTTCGAATAATGCATGGAGATCTAAGTAAGGTGGCCATTTGCAGTTGACAGATCATGATTTTGTCAATGTTTATTGTTTCCAAATGCCGGCTGAGATCTTTTGGCATGGCACCAAGTGTGCCAATGACCACTGGGACCACCTGTACTAGTTTATGCCAGATTATTATTATTATTATTATTATTATTATTATTATTATTACTATTCCCTCTCTAAGAAGAAGCACATTAGGGTTGGAAGAGACCCCCAAAGGCCATCTAGTCCAGTCCCATTCAGGAATACAATACCAAAGGGATCCTTCACTTCCTCCTTCTATTATTATTATTATTATTATTATTATTATTATTATTATTATTATTATTACTATTATTATTTGTCATACCCACCTCTCCTTGTGGCTCAAGGTAGGTTACAGCATAATGAAAACACTGAAACATTATAAAAATTATATAAATAAACATATTTATATAAACGATACATATTATTTGCTGTCAAATCAGTTTCAACTTGTGGTGCCTCTCCCAAGAATTCAGAACAGTTTTAAAGGCATTGTGATAAGTTCTGAGAGGAGGGAAAGAACATGGTGAATGAAAATAACCAATACATTCATAGTAAAGATATATTACAAAAAATGAATGAGGCTCTATACAGAGTATCAAATACCTCCTTTTTAAAAAAAAATGATTGCAATTTTTTAATTACATTATTATTCTTGACTCCTATCCTTTTCCACTCTTGTCCCAAACACCCCTTAATTCAATTCCTTCTCAAGAAGAAATTAGAAAAGACCAGACTCAAATTGTCTCTTGCTATGGTCCCTAGTTGTAGTTCATAGTGCTGGTTTCCTGCTACTTCCATGGTTTCTTCAAGGAGTTTCTTTGACAGCCTTTCTTCTTCTGTAGGAACGCAAGATCATTGAAGATACCGTGGTTCCATTCACAGTTACTTCGAATTCTGCAGAACACTTGTCCACCTCTTCCTCCGTGACAGATGGAAATGGGACTCTGGTGAGTTCTCTGCTAAAACTGGAAACTAAAGTAAGATGTTAAAGGAATATAAGAACTTTTTTTAACCTAGGTGATTACAGAGAGGATAAGCAAGACAGTTTTGTTTCGTAAATTGAGCTGAGCCGAGCTTTGAAAACAGTGTTTAATCAGAATACCTTTTGGTTAGATCTCCTTTTCTCCAAGGAAGGAGTAATTCTATTAATGAGGACTTCTTTTGTGTATGATGCATTTTTTAAAAATCTCTCCTTCATACTCGATCCTACTGCACCATTTCATATAGTATTGCAAAAGGTTTCCCTACTCCCCAGAATTGATTTTCAAAAAATATGGGGAAATGGAAGGAAGATTAAGTCCAAAAACATCACTTTCTAGGAGCATGAACTTTGCAATAATGGATTGTGAAAATGGTTGATTGTGCAACTATTAACGTAGTAATGGTAATAACATAATTTCATATTTGACAGTGACTTACCTATATTTTGGCATGAGGTTCCAACTGACAAGTTTTGGTTTGCAAATCAAAAGGAGAAATCATAGTTATGTTCATTCTTCTACCTCTATAAGTTTCATCACCATGGTTATTTATACCCCACTTTTTTCTCTCCGCAAGGAGACTTAAAGCCATTCCTCCACATTCACTGGGTTTAAGGGCATAGGAGCCCAATGAAAGTGAAAAATTGCACATAACAATATTGATATTTTTTACTTGAGATAATAATATATAATATACTAGCCATCCCCTGCCACACATTGCTGTGGCCCAGTCTGGTGATCTGGAAAATAATGAGAAAGTGTTTGTTTCTAACATATGCAATTTCTTTATGTTTGTGAGTAAACAGTATTTCTTGCTGTTTCTTTGTCAGGGTTGATGTGGAGATTGTCTGGTTTGCCTACTCTGGAACAGACAACATATAATTGTCCTTTTTTAGGGGTCCCTCTCAAATCTATGATACTATATCTGTCTGTGTGAATCATATATATCTATCTATATCTATGGCTGGATGGCTCTTTGTCAGGAGGGCTTTGATTACGTTTTCTTGCCCTGGTGAAGGGAGTTGGACTGGATGGCCTTAAGTATTTTCTGTTGATCATGGGGGTTTGTGTGGGAAATTTGCCCCAATTCTGTCATTGGTGGGGTTCAGAATGCTCTTTGATTGTAGGTGAACTATAAATCCCAGTAACTACAACTCCCAAATGTCAAGGTCTATTCCCCCAAACTCCATCTGTGTTCATATTTGGGCATATGGAATATTCGTGCCAAGTTTGGTCCAGATCCATCATTGTTTGAGTCCACAATGATCTCTGGATGTAGGTGAACTACAACTCCAAAACCACCAAACCCTTCTCGTGTTTTCTGTTGGTCATGGGAGTCCTGTGTGCCAAGTTTGGTTCAATTTCATTGGTGGAGTTCAGAATGCTCTTTGATTGTAGGTAACTATAAATCCCAGCAACTACAACTCCCAAATGACAAAATCAATTTTTTGAGTGATGGTCACTCCTTGGGTTAGTAGGTGTCTTGTGGCCAAATTTGCCGGCAATTCATCCAGTGGTTTTTGAGTTATGTTAATCCCACAAATGAACATACATTTTTATTTCTATAGCCTAGCCTTCCCCTGCCACACATTGCTGTGGCCCAGTGTGTGGGTATATATTTGTGTATATGTGTATGCATATATATGTGGTTTTGTGCAAGCGTTGTAATTTTTAATTTTTGGCTTTTTAAGTCTCTTTTACTGTGTTTTTCAGTGTTTTTATGAGTGATGGTCACTCGTTGGCCTGATAGGTGTCTTGTGTCCAAATTTGGTGTCAATTCATCCAGTGGTTTTTGAGTTATGTTTATCCCACAAATGAACAATACATTTTTATTTCTATAGGTTGTCAGTTTCTATTAACACATAATAAGATGAGTGTTCTCAGGAGTGCTGCCACTGAAATACTGGTCAAATCAAGAAGTGTTTTTGCTTTCTCTATTTTTTGGTAGAATACGATAGATATGAGTAACTCTGAAGAGGAACATAAGCAAAAAGACAGAACTCAGAAGAAACTATTTTGTGAACAAGATGACACTTCTTTCTCAAAAAGCAAGGAATATGAACCACTGAAGGAGAATTTGAGGTGGGTAAAGTAGACAACATTGTATATATTTTCTTCCAGAAATACCTTCAACTGAGAAATTCGAGCTATTTCACTTCCAGAGAAATGCATTTTTCAGTACAGCTACTGAACAGCTACCACTAAATCAAAGAGATACATGTCACCATATCACAAATGATGTATTCTGTAAGGCAGTGAGCTTGTTTTGCTGAGTAATGTGTGTGCTTTTGTTGAGTCATCTCTTGGTAAGGTGTAGTTTCTGCTTTCAATGGATGCAGTGGCACTTAAAGAATCGACTTCTATTTATCAATTATGCAAAAACGGGAAATTGGTAAGATGTAATTTCTGCTTTCAATGGATGCAGCTGGCTGAGTGTCGGCTGCATTAAGATCACTTCTGATCGAAAGGTCATGAGTTCGAAGCCAGCCTGGGTCGGAGTGAGCTTCCGACCAATTGTGTAGCTTGTTGTCAACCTTTGCAACCCGAAAGACAGTTGCATCTGTTAAGTAGGAAAATTAGGTACCACCTATGTGTGGGGAGGCTAATTTAACTAATTTACGAAGCCATAAAAAAGACTCCAGCAAAGCATGCAGGGAATGCGGAAGTATTTCATCAGTGTCGCAGATGGATGATGAAAGCGACAGCTCCCCTGGTGGCCAAAAAAGTTAAATAGCCTCTGACTGTCTATATGTGTTGTGTGTCTTTGGCATTGAATGTTTCCCATATATGTGTACATTGTAATCCACCCTGAGTCCCCTCCGGGGTGAGAAGGGCGGAATATAAATACTGTAAATTGTAAATAGTAAAATCCATGCACTCTATTTTGAGTGGTAGGAGAATCTACTATTCCATTTGCTGCTATTAGTATGATTTTAATCACTGGTTGGATGAGAGCAATGGGTGCGTCCACTACATCAGTTTCTACTATCCATATTCTATTGAGAATTATTTTGAATTGGAAGGGAAGACTGAGGTTACTAATATGTTTGGCCTTGGCATTAGAAGCACTGAAACAACACTCCTGTTAGCTAAATCAGAGCCATTTGATTTTGACATAACGGAGTCAAATTTGAAAATTCAGTTATAACATAAAATAGTTTAAAACTTTTTAAACATTGTCCTGCCTCTTTATAAAATGGGAAGTCAGACTTGGCCATGGTGGTCCACGCTCTCGTTACATCTAGGATAGACTACTGCAACGCACTCTACGTGGGGTTGCCTTTAAAGACTGCTCAGAAGCTTCAAATAGTCCAACGAGAGGCAGCCAGGTTAATAACTGGGGCGGCATACAGGGAGCATACAACTCCCATGTTACACCAGCTCCACTGGCTGCCAGTTTGCTACTGGGCACAATTCAAAGTGCTGGCTGTGGCCTATAAAGCCCTAAACGGCCCCTGCCCCTGTCCAAATGCATCTCCCCCTATGAACCATCGCGGAGATTAAGATCCTCTGGGGAGGCCCTGCTTTACGTCCCGCCATTGTCACAGGCATGATTGGCGGGGATGAGAGACAGGGCCTTCTCAGTGATTGCTCCCTGGCTATGGAACTTCCTTCCTGGTGAGATCAGGTTGGCCCCCTCCCTCCTCTCCTTTAGAAGGATGGTTAAAAACTTGGCTGTGGGACCAAGCTTTCGGGACAGGGCAATAAAGCGGCAATAGGAAAGATGACCGGGCCAATTAGATTTTACACGGATGACCAGGACGGTTTTAAATGGTGTATTTTAATATTTTGATAAATATTCTTAATGTTTATGTATTGTATGTGAATTTGTGTCCCGGTATTGAATGTTTGCCGTATATATGCTGTGCTTTGCCCTAAGTCCCCTTCGGGGTGAGAAGGGCGGAATATAAATGTTTTAAATAAATAAATAAATAAAATCTACTTTCTGTTTGTCAGCACTGTAAATGAAATATATGGAGACACTAATCAGAGAAGAAGTGAGCAAGAAAACCAGAGGTCCATGCCAGAATGTACAACGCCCACCAAAATGACTTTGCCATTATATCAGGGTATGTGAAGCCTTTTTAAATCCCTTTGTAAATAACATATATTTTCTATAAATCAAAAGCTACCATGCAATCTTTCTTCCTCCAGTTTGACCCCAAATTCTCTGTAGTAAACTTTAAGCTTCGTTAGATATAAACTAATATATGTACTAGAGAAAGGGTCCTCTCAACTGTTGAGGACTGAATTCAGTTGAATGTAATTTTAAGCTGCTTCAAGACTTTTCTCTCTCTCCTTTCTTTGATTTTACAACATAGTATTAAAATGCCTCACTATAAAACATCTTGTAATATGACTACTTTTAATTCAGATATATCACGGAATCAGACAAAACAAAGCCCACGTGCTTCAGATGTCAAACAGAAAAATTCACCATTGGAACATAATTTAGGTCCTCCAGTCAATTCCGCAAAAGAAATTCGGAGGTAGGTAACAAATTTCTCTCATGGCCTACTTAACTAATTCAAATAATAAGAATTAATGCCACGGATCCTTCAGAGAGAGATACTTGGAAGAAGGATGTGGATGTATTTGAAGTCCCTTTTTCCTTGATGCTCCATGGGCATTCTCTGTGATGAGTGTAAATAAAGAGCAAATTATATAGTAAAATATTCCAGGACTTGACACTTAAGGAAGCAGGTGAATGGTGTCATGATTCAATACTCAAGCATTGTTGTTGCTACTGCTATATCTGCTTGGGCAGTTACATAGCTAAGGTATAGCAAAGTACTACATTCTATTCTACAATATTTCATTTTTGTTTATAAGAGGAATCTTTCAAATTTGCAACTCCCTGCTTAGTTTAGTAAAGCTGTGTCCAAGGAAGGTTTTACTACAAGTTCTGGAGTTTGCATAGACCAGGCTTGTTTCTGTCTCCAAAGTAAACAACACAAGCCACCATCATCTGACAGAACCCCAGTTCTCATTCCTACCAGAACATCAGGAGGACTTCCTAAAAGTGTAGATCAGCATGAGCTTCCAACTTCCATTTTTCTTCCAACTCTGCAATGAATTAAAAATTGATTCCAAAAACTTCACGAGATTTCTTTTCTTTTTTTTTTGCGCTTCAGAGCTGGCTGTCGAGAGACCTCTAGAACTGGGTCAACATCACCAGGTTCTCCTACAGTTCAAAGCCAGTCACCCAACAGGTATAAATGGTCAATTAGAGTTTTGTTACAAACTGATCAGCTACTTTACAACGTAATTTCAGCCTAAACTTTCTAAATAGTGGACCCCGTTTCAAGGTGTGAAGGGTATGTGCTATCACACTAAGTAGTATTTATTTATGAGCTAATTTTACAGGTATTCAGTGGTTATTTTGGTACCACATTCAGTGATATCTGAATCTACAGATTTATTTATTTTTTGTCATGTCAGGAGTGACTTGAGAAACTGCAAGTCGCTTCTGGTGTGAGAGAATTGGCCGTCTGCAAGGACATTGCCCAGGGGACACCCGGATGATTTGATGTTTTTATCATCCTTGTGGGAGGTTTCTCTCATGTCCCCGCATGAGGAGCTGGAGCTGGTAGAGGGAGCTCATCCACCTCTCCCTGGAGCCAAACCTGCGACCTGTCGGTCTTCAGTTCTGCCCGCACAGGGGTTTAACCCACTGCGCCACCACGGGCTCTAATCTGCAGATGACTCATATGTATAGAACACATCCATAGGGTTCTAAAGAAAGAGTTACCATAATCTTTATAACCAACACATGTAGGTACCTTCAGTGTTGTCAATGGGGTACCAATGGAACAAAATCGAATTGTACCAAGGTGAGCACTTTAATGCACTGTCAAACTGTATAGCCTCTATTCATTATGCAGAATGTGATTGCATCACAGTGGGCAAAGAGCAAAGAATTCCTCTGAACAATTTAAAATGAAAATGGCTACTTCCCACCTATGTCAAATATCAATTTTTAGTAGTGGAGGCAGGGTTAGTGGGAGCATAGTACAAAAGGAGAAAGACATTAACCAACCCTTTCTCTTTTTTGTTTGCTTGTTTTCATTGCAGGTCTATCAGTGGCAAGAAGCTCTGCTCCAGCTGTGGGCAACCTCTTGGGAAAGGCGCTGCCATGATTATCGAATCACTTGGTCTTTACTTCCATATTCAGTGCTTCAGGGTAGGATTGATGTGCTAATGCTGTTCTTCCTAAATAAAGGCTCGTTTGCCTATTACCTTCTTTCTCTCACAAAAAAGATTCTACCTAGTTATTCCTCACTATAACTTGAGTATCTGGCCTGGCCTGCTATGGAAATCTCTCCTCCTAAAATACCAGTGTCAGATGTACCTGGAGATGCCTTCCATCTTGAGTACTTGTGTGGCATTTTATTACTGAATACCCCCTAGAAAGTATCCTGCCATAGATACAAGATATTTAATGAAAGCAAATCCATAGAAGCAAATAACACTTGCAACCCAGAGCTTTGTGTAAGTGGCACTAGGAATTTATCAGAGTGAGTCATTTTTGCTGTCTCTCCGAAGTTCAGTGCAATGGATTTTTGCACAATGGGATATTGTGGCAATTAAACTACACCAAAACTAATAAAGACTGGAGGGATAAATGTCCCCAAGTATATAATTTAACCCTTATTTTGCCTATTCTTTGTCATTGGATAGTGTGGAATCTGTAAGGGACAACTTGGAGATGCAGCGAGTGGAACAGATGTCCGAATTAGAAATGGTCTTCTCAACTGTAATGATTGTTACATCCGATCCAGAAGTAAGTGCCCATGGCTGGGTCTCAATTTGATATTTACCATTTTGTTTTGTATGTTGTTGGTTTTAGTTTAAATACTATGTACTGCTGTATTTTTGCAAACAGGTCCAGAACTGTCCCACAAAACCTTTAATTTTCCCACATAAATAATTTATTCACACATCAGTTTACCTGAAATGAACAACACATAAAACTATGTAACAAGATTTTTGCTCCTGGGTTATAAATGTCATTTCCAACTTGGTTCTATCCTATAAACCTCAAAAAAAGTTTATTAAACTGCAAAAACTTGGTTTTTGTGAGACATCCTGCAACACATTTTGCAGAAATTACTTGAAGACACACACTGATGGGGTTAACTGGTCATTAACTCTAACCCTTAATGTTGGTTGTAACTTGTGCTCTGAGACACAGTGTTCCTTCACTACTTCGTGGTTCGCTTTTAGCGGACTCACTGTTTCTCAGGTTTTTGAAACTATTAATAGTTTGTCAATGAATATCTCATCAAGTCTCAACTGATTCAACATAGTTTGTGGCAGCCACAAAATGAAGTTTCTGGAGCATAACAACTACTTTCAAAGTGAAATAGTTACAGGAAATAACATTTTCTTACCAGAAACAGGGTTTTTTTTTCCAAATTTTGTTATAGAGTGTAATGTTAAGCCCATGGTATAATATTAAGCTTGCTTACTGAAAAATAAGTCGCAACGTGTTCATTGAGGACATGTGTATGCAAAGTTACAACTTTAATGTCTTATACGATTTCTTTTGGAGAGCACAGACACGACTTCCCTGTTGTCATTTGGTCATTCAAGGACAAAAAGAATATAGAGGGTCTAGTTTTTAGGCTACATCACATACCTCCCCACAGAACCTAAAGCATAGCAGGCAATTCTAAAAACAGCATCCGGGAGATTGCTCTTTGGGAAAACCAGCTTAGTTTTGTTCTTGGGAACATTTTCACATTGTAAAAGGTAGATGGTGCTGTTGTCTCAGTCATTTTCTTGGTTTATTTTACTCATTGAAGTGCAGTGTTTGGAGAAGGGTTTCCTAAAGCATGGAATTAATAAAAATACGAAATAATTGGGTAGACATATAAATTTACTCTTTTGAAATGTAGCTTATCTTTTATTCTATTGGTGTATTTTGTTGTGTAGTCAGAATGGGATGCAAGTAGCTTTGTGAACTGCTGACTAATTTGTAGTTGGCTGTTTCTACTACTAAGGCTGGTTGCCTCAATTACTGCAAAGTATTTGGACTAAGTGGATTTAGATCCAATCCAGAAACGGGTGACTTAAACAAGAGTGCACATTACAGATTGCTTGTATGTGTGTACTTGTGCAGTCAAATTTCATATCAACTTATGGCAACCCCATGGATTTCATAGGGTTTTCTTAGGCAAGAAATACTCAAGAGGTGTCTTAGCCAGCTCCTTCCTCTGAAATAGTCTACAGCATCTGGTAATGCCATCCAAGTACTAAGCAGGGATGACCCTATTCAGATTGTTTTCCTACATTCTACCTGTTAAAAGACCGGCACTGAGAAATAACTCTTGCTTTGGTTATTTGAAGCACACTGATTTCAGGGTTGTTGGTTTTTCTTTGTCGCTGTCTTTGTGACCACATTCCCTCTTATGAACCGGTGCGGGCTCTAAGATCTGCCGGGAAGGCCCTCCTCTTGGTCTCGCCACCATCACAAGCGCAGTTGGTGGGGACAAGGGAGAGGGCCTTCTTGGTGGTAGCCCTCCAACTTTGGAGCACCCTCCCCAGGGAGATTAGGTAGGCCTCCACACTGTCCTCCTTCTGTAGGGACCTGAAGTCCCTGGTTGTTCTATGCAATATTTATGCAGCCTGGCACTTTATCTCATGCCCTCACTCCATGGTTACAGCTCTGCACTTATTCTTTTCCTTTGTCCTATTGTTTACATCCTGGCCATGTTTACTAGGCATGTGCAATCCATGGTTCTAAATGGTTCTAAAGTACTTACAAAACTAAAGTTCTGGTTGTGAAAACTAGGGGGCGCTGGTGCTTTGCTTCTACAGTGTTGCTAAAGTTCTGGTGGTGAAAATTTCAGAACTCTAACAAAACCTTCAAATTTTCATTATTATTTCATTAGTTTTGTAAGTACTTTAGAACCATTTAGAACCATGGATTGCACATGCCTAATGTTTACTGTAGCTTATCACCATTGGTTGATGAGCACTGTTTTGAGTCTTAAGTTGTTGTTTTATATGCCTATTTGTTTTATTCAATTGTATTTTATAGTGTTTTATTTTATGTTCTGTATATAGGCACCTTGTACTGTGTATAAGCCGTCCCAAGTCCGGGGAGATGGAGGCGGGATATAGGAATAAAGTTGTTTTTGTTGTTGTTATCAAATGAGATACTGTACCTCCCACTTTTTTATTGAAAAGCCATCTATACTAACCTAAATAAGTATCCAGTAATCACTTATGCCTGTGTGTCTCCATTTGAATCCCAGTTTCACCGTAATAACCCACTAAGCAGTCTTGGGCAAGTCACACACTCTCAACTCCAGAGGAAGGCAAATCCTGCCAAGAAAACTCCATCATAGGATTGCTATAAGTCAGAAATTACTTGAAGACACACACCAACAGAGTTAATTGGTCATTAACTCTAACCCTTAATGTTAGATATAGCAAACAATCTTACCATGTTTCTCATGCAAAATGTCTCTTTTAATCTGCTTTATTGCTTTACACAATATGCATGACTTAGTGCTTTTACTTTCTACTACCTGGTCTTTTCTTTTTTGAAACACAGCTGCTGGTCAGCCAACAACTTTGTGACCCGGCTGTCAGTCCTGCTTCCACATTTCTTCTGCAAGAAGGAGCAGCACTGCTATGTTCCTGTCTAATCACATGTAAGAGCTTATCTCCATGGACTCCTTGGCTCTCACCTCATCTTGGAAGGTTGGCATAAAGGAAAAGACTCCATCGGCTACTTTCAAATGCAATACATGGACCTTTCTTCCTTAATTCACTTCCATTACCTGTATGAAGTGTGTCCCTGGACATTTCCCTTCTGGCCCTCCCATGAAAGCGTGCTCCACATTACCGGTTATGTTTGTTGTCGCCGTCTGCTCTTTTGAAAGTAACACGGAAATAAAGATGCAATAAACCTGTTCTGTTTTAATATAACTAGGGATTGAGAATTTTTAAGTTTACACAACCTTTGTAGATGTTCTATAATATGCCAACATATTAATCTATTTAGTTGCATTTGAAGAAGAAGAAGAAATATTAAGCGGCATCCCAGAAAGCATAGTTTTCTGTTTATTACTGAAGTGATAACTTTTTTAAATACAAAAGACTAGTTTGATAAAGCATACTGTAACTCTGAAACATTTTACTATATTACCTTCAGCGGAGGGTAGGGAATCTATAAATAAATTATTTCACCTTCTGTAATCTCTCTGTGCATACAAAGATTCTCCCTATAACAGTAAATAAAGGCATTTTCAGTAAACATAATGCATGTGGTGGTGGTTACAGAAAATCCCAACAATGGATGGGTAGCTGGCAGCCAGTGAGTAAGATCTACCTTCCAAAGTAACTTACCTTGTTAAGTCTAACCATTTTTAATCAAGATCCGGTGTAATGTTTCCTTGCTGGAGATGGGTGAGACATACTGTAACATCTCTCCTTTGGAGTTAGAATACAATGGCCAATGCTTTTGTAAGAAAAAAATGACTTTTCTAAGCTCTAGTAATGACCCAACCATGCATGTATACTATATAAGAGGTTGTCCAGTTGGGAACAGATCAGAGTAAATGCTTGTTCCACAAAGCAGCTCTCCTCATCCACATGTCATCTAAATGTGTGGGGCTATAATGCCCTACATCACCAGCCATAACGGGGTGATAGAAGCAATTTTCTACACATCTGGAGGCTGTCATGTTGATTGGTTTGAAGAACAAAATGGCTCCTAGGATGTGCAAATCCATTCTGTTTTCGAGCCCCCCCCCCCCCCAATTCAGTTTTTGGAAAGATTCTGGGAGATTAGGAGGGAGGCTGTTCTGATTCGTAATTCACAACTCTTGAGTTCAGTTTCCYTTTCAGAGAGAATCTTCTCAAAAACAGAATTGGAGAGAGGGGGACCCAAAAACAGAACGGATTCTATGCCGTTRCACAGACCCCAACTCCTAACATGAAAAACTTTGCTCCCCATAAATGATAAGAAAGTACAAATGCTTAATGCCAAATTGCCTATTTAAAATCGTTCCCACAGTGTGAGTAGATGGAATAATATTACAAATTGAGGCTGCCCATCTCCAAGCAGAGGAAGAGATGCACATGTGCAGTAAGGACATCAAGTTTTGCTCAGTGTTAAAAGGAAGAGGAAGATACTGCAGATGAGAACCCTGTGGAAAGTGTAGACCCTTTTATTCTGTACAAAATGAAGACACATGAAGTTGAATATTCAGATACTGGTACAACTAAAGGAGTGCTTAGTCAATTCCCCCTACTTTCAGTAATATTGCCATTTGTGGTAATTTGCATTGTTTAAAAAACGTCTGTACCCCACTGACAGCTGCACATATTGGCCAAAAATGCCCATATAAATGTATGATACTAAATCCTGTGCTTTCGGGTGAAATTTTAAGCTTCGAAATCAGTTCAGTCAAAGCCAGTGGAATTTCTGTCCGAGTAAATGTGGTTAGATTGTGGATGAATTTAGACAATGGATGGTAGAGGAAGAGCTAACAACCTTATGTGGACACTGCAGCATGGACAACAGCTGACACCAGTCCATGTGTGTTGAGTCTAAACAGCCTTCTTCTTAAACCTTGAAGCTAAATCTTCCAAACAGAAGTAAATCAGGGAACTCTGAAGAGCCAGTGGTCTGTAGAGGATGTTTGAACATGTCCTATCATGTGCACGCCAGTCTGGGACAGTTTTTGCATGCCTTTAGCACCATGGTTTCCATTTCCCCATAGTACAGGCAGTCCCCAGGTTATGAACAAGATAGGTTCTGTAGGTTTGTTCTTAAGTTGAATTTGTATGAAAGACTCAACAGATACATTTTTAAGTGTAACTCCAGCCACACACACACACACTTTGGATAACATAGGGAAGAGTTAACATCCCTGTAGTGTTTCTTTTGCTGTCTGGGCCCCTGTTCAGAAGATTTCCCCTCACTTTCTGTCCCTGTAATAATGAGATTTTGAAAAATGTGGCTTGTTGTAAAAACAAGGATTGGTGAAAAAGCTTCAGTGGAGCTCCCTTTTCCCCATACCTCTTTCAGGAGTGAATTTCCCTTCTGAGGGGTAGATATCTCTCACTTCCTGTGTTTTGTAAGTCAGATGTTTGTAACTTAGGGACTGCCTGCAATAACGTAACTATTGAGGTCAAGGGAACTTGTGTGAGACAGTAGATCATGCAATTTCTTCCTACAACAACGGCACTGGTACCAGTGGCTGCCACATATGCTCTTCATTGCAGATGTGTAAAGGGACTTTCCAGAGCAGTATGAGAACAAACCACTAAGAAGCAGCAGCAGCGACCTAAAATAACTCATTCATTCGTAGCAGTGGGCACTTTTGAATGGAAGACAGGTTCAAGTACTGAATCTGAATTTGAACTCATTTTACTGCTGGGGTTACCATTATATATTTTACCACACTGGCTATGGAACTGTTGTAGCTACCAGAGGCAGTACGCATAGTGGTTTGAGAGCAGTACTGTTTGGTATCTTCAGCAGGCTGGTTTTTAAAAAAAAGAATGAGTGGAAAGCATATGAAATTAGCATCAGAAGATGGTTTTTTAAAAGGAAACATATGTATGCTGCCTTAAGAATGTTACGAGGACAGAACTAAAGTTAATTGAGATTTTTTGTTGTATTTTGTTTTTCATTCACACATCAATTGTCTCCTGATGTGTAAGTGAATAACGTGGACATTTCTTAGGTAAGCAATAAAGTGTGGCACTGATAGTAACTATTTATTTATACATCTGGGCAGATCTTGACATGCAGCTGTATACTCAAAAGAAAATGTCTCCTTTGTCATTCAAAAGCTGTTTGCGTGGTGTGGTCTATTGTAAAACATATCATTTCTGATAGAAATGTAACACATTTTATTAAAATGGTGCCTTAGAAAATAACAAAGCTGTTGCACAGTCACCAGTGACAAATGGATGTAATAATTGTTGGTTTGTTTTTGTTGTTTTTTTTTAAAAAAGGTTAATTCCCTAGAACAGAGAGTGGCAGAGAACGTTGATTCTCATATTGTAAACAGCCGTTGGCATGTTTATCAGGGATGGATTTGCATAATGTTGATATCTGTATGGAATTCGCTGTAGTCAAAATACCTCTTAGCAAAACAAGACATGCACATTACAAAAAAAAAACTGTAGCCAGAGATCGATGACAGTTCCTCCTAAACATACATCTTCAATTTATGTCCATGACATTAAGGCAAGAGAGGGAAACATGCAACTTTCTAGGTGTTGGACTGCAGCTCCTAGCTAACTGTGGAGAGGGCTGAGGATTGCAACCCAACACACCTAAAGAGTTGCCATCTTTAGGTGTGTTGGATCACTGCTCGTATGTTGTGCACAAATGAATTCCTATCATAATGAAAGTCTCTAAGTAACGCAACACATAGGTGAGGTTGTCTACTGTTTCTACCTGCTCTCCTACCATTGCCTCTTTCCAGTCTGCCTAGATGGAGGCAGATCAAGTTGCTTTGTTTCCGCATGCAGAAACCTAGAAAATGTAGACATTTTCCAAGGAGTTTTCCCATTACATCTCTACCTGAACTTGTCTCCTTTCAGTCAAGGGGACAACTCCCAGCAATTCATGCAACAACTGAAGGTATGGATTTTTGACCTGAATTATTTTTCCCATCCAGGACTATAAAAGGGAAAAAATATGGAGTTTCATAATACAAAAATGCCCCCAGTGTTAATTCACATAGGAATTTAGTGTCAGCTCTCAGAAATATTTCACAAAGAGAACTCCTTTCCATAACATGGTATCTCTATGTTGGTTCAACCAATAGACATACCCAAATGCAAATCTCTGTTAGCTGTGGGGACCATTTGGCCAGAAATGCCTTGGAGGGCAGGGGTCAGAAGCAGTGACATAGACATTTCCTGTGACAATCCCCACAACACAGCAGGAAGAAAGATTGTTGGGCAGTATTTTGCACCTTCTAAAATGTACATAAGGACTAGACACTAAAATGACTTGTGGATTATCTGCATTGATAATTTGGATTATATGGCAGTGTAGAAGAGCCCTTAGCTGTAGTCTGACATACAGAAAATGTGACCTCAATCCGTATGGCTACTTGGTGCATACAATATATTGCAGGTCTTGTGCATAATGGAGTTTGTGTAAGATTCTTGGAAATAGCTGAGAGTTGAGTGTACCCAGTTGAGTTTAGACCCATGGAGATTTCTGTAAATTTCCCACTAAAATGGACAGACTATGAACAAGGGCACAAATGTGATATAGTCTTTCAGTGGAGCCATCCCAACAGATTGTGGAAATCTTGATTTTATGTTTGTGCCCAAACATTAATAATCTTTATTTGAAACTGGGTAGATCTGCAACACCAAACACACAGTACAGTCCTATCCAGAAGCAAGCTCAATTGTGACCAGTGAAGCGTATTACTTGGTAAGTGAGTAGGTTGACAGCCTTAAAGTCCTGCTAGTTTTCACCAAGCACGCAATTGTAGGCAGTAAACTCAAGACTAACAGGTTTTTCCTATGCAGCATTTTTACATGCCAATGAGGTTTTATAGCTGGGCAACAGCTATCTTTACATGTATCAAGGCCTGAATACACACGTGTGTTGCTTCTGTTTCTCCACAATGATGGATTATCATCAACAGACACAATCTCCCCACCCACACGCCAAATCTTCATATTTCACTTGAAATTATAATACAGGAGGTTCACTCATGCTTCAGCCCACATTATTACCAATTCTGTAATAAGCGTGACAAATTTCTTGTTTCAGAAGTCTTTGGTGGGAGGGTTTGGGAAAGGGTTTGAGGGGGAAAATAACAATGTACCACTATGTTGATTTGAAATGATAAATATGTGTTTCCAAGAGTGGTTTACTGTTGATGCGCCAATATGATACGTATAATGGGTTTTTAAGTGTTCTAAAAAGTGTGTAGCTTTTTCTTTAGTGAGCAGGCATAACCATGTCACAATTATTTTTATATATTTCATTCTCAGAACTTCATAGTGGTCTTTTATTCTTCTTATGTAGAATTAATTCCATATCCACTGTAGCTATTGTTATGTGATATAAAAAATTGGTGAGCCAAAGGAGGGCTACTTTATATACAAGATCACCAAAGGACAAGTGTCCTGTTTGGATTAATGTTGAATACCAATTATACTAATCTAAACTGATATGATATTTATTCTAAAATGCCTCTGGAAAGTCAGAAAATTTGTCTAAAATGCAACAGCTTTTATAGTAAATGTTATGTTTATAAATAAACATTTAT